TCTTTTCAATCAATTTTAATTTTGAGACAAATATTTTTAAAGCTTAAGAATCCTGTCTATTATTGGCATTAAGCAGTGAACCAATAGAGAGGTCTGTGGACCCCCTCCCCAGAAGAATGCACTATACAGGACAGCACTGAAGCTACAGCTCGGGGAGAGGGCCACATCTGATCAGAGCACACTGGAGCAAACTAAGAGGGAAGGAGAGAGATACAGAGAGTGGAACGCATCTTGGCCCACCAAGCCCCCAAAATAATATTCCTGCTCAGAGCAGCCAATACACAGAGAGGACCATAGGGCCAGCCCCACCACGAGATATGACATAGTGCTCAGTGACCCACAGGGCTATGAGGGACACACTGGAGACACAGTTCTGGAATTGTGCTCAATCTGACGCCACCACACCTGGGCAAAACACAAAGGGCGCGCAACAGAGCAGCAAGAGGAACAAAGCAATGAAGTCTCTGAGGAATCCCAAAAGTAGACTTTGGGGGCAGGGCATGGCACCTCATCAGACTCAACCGGAAAACACTCTTAAAGGTCAACAAACAGACCTGGAACTATGTATAGGCTTTTCTTTTTCTTTTTTTTTTTCAAATTAGGTTAGAGTAATTTTATCTGTTAGAGATTTATACACAATTAACAGATCTATAAAATAGTTGTCAATTCTTGTCCAGTTTCATAACCATTTTTACATAGTTGAAAATTTTGTTGTGAAATAGGGTCTACAAAATAGTTCTTTGAGAGAGCATCAAAAAGAAAGAAAGTATCACAATTATTTTAGACATAATAATGTTTACAAGTCTGCATGCAAGTGAGAAGCTTCACACACATCTTTCTTCTATACATCATTGGGGAAAAATTAGGAAAATAATTATTAAACTGAATGAGGACATATTTTGTACACTTATCAAATTCATCTAATACTTATTACTTGCAGAATCAGTGCCATTACAAGGGATCCACACCCTATTATGTAGTCAAATAAAGTAAGTGGCCGCCAAATTGACATATCAGAGTCACCTTGCTGTAGGATATATTAAGGAAATCTTATACTGAAAGCTTATAATATGGTCCATATATCTTATAGGAGACATTCTCTTCACACACAAGATGTTAATTCTTCATTTTTAGAATTTAGTAACATTCCTTTAGTAGTGTTGCTGGCTTTATCTTTTAAGTTGAAATTATGATGGCAACATTGCAAACATGGCTAATATTTTTTATCATTGTCTAATCATACCTTGGAGTTAAACAAAGATGGTTTAGCTATCTCCAGTTCAAAAGCCTACTTCTTTAAAGAATGACTGGCCAACTGATACCATCCCTGAAAGCAGAATTCCAGCCACCAACTTGAATGGGGTATGGCTCAATGAAGAACACAGTAACTGATCTCCCTCAGAGGCAAGGAAGCAAAAATCAATGTCAAAGTTGTTAAATAAAAAAAAAAAATTTTAATGCAATGTTTAAAAATTTCCCCCTGAGCTGTGGATATTTTTTATATAGTTTCTGGTAAAATAGTGCATTCCATCAGTCTAAGTTGTATTTATAAGTGCTATTGTTCTTGGTGCTGAAAATAGGTCAACTCTAACTCAAACAACACAAAGTGGTAGCAATGACATTTTTCATAAAAATCTTTGGTGAGATGCAGTCCTGCAGAAACCTCTTCACTTTGTTTCCCTCCTCAACATACTTCTAGTATTTTCCGGTTATTTTCAGAGGAACATAATGACGGACAAGCTGACCCCCTTGCATGGCTGCATCACCTATTGCACGTTAGATTTCTCTTAGAGTGGGATACTGCCCCTCCCACAGGTGGGCACCTCAGATGCTATCTGCCTCACAAGCTGGATCCAGACCCGTTTTTCTTCTGAGGAATTTGTCTACATGACCAGTAGTTGCTTCTCCTGAAATTCGGACAAACTTCTTTTCCAAGTGGCTTTAAATATCCTGTTCCTTCATTAGCACCAATTAACTCCAGTAATAAAGACATGTCAAGTTCAGGTGGAATCCGAAACACTGATTCCAGGGATTTTTTGGATCTTCCTTTGCTTGAAGGGACTGGTTGTGGAACAGCAGGTTCAGGTACTTCTAGTCCTTTCTTTATAGAATTCATGGTTTTCTTCCCTATGCTCTAGACCAGGGGTGTCAAACTCAATTAAAACACGGGCCATTTGGTGCAACAGGCAAGATTCACGCGGGTCACATCACATTTACAAATTTTTTAAAATTTATATTTTCAAGTGAGGATTCAGGAATGTGGCTAGGATAATGAAACACTATATAATTGCTTTTATTTAAACATTTATTTTATTTATGAAACTAAAATTATTCTTTTTTACCCGAAACTTGCCAGCGCTTTCCTTCTACTAGTTTGCACTTACCTCTTATCTTGTGACCGGAAAATATAACAAACTAACTAATAAAAAATACAAAATGTTGGACAGCTGACAAACGTGATACACAATCGTAATGGCTTCCCTCTAAAAATGTTAACTAGCGCCGCTAGGAATGATTCGTAACAGCACAACCCAGAGTGGTCTTTTTAACCTTTCACTATTGGGATCTGTTTACATTCCGTGACACAAAGTGGCAGACATATCACTTCCAAACGTCGCCCTAACTGAGTCAGCGCACTTAGACACGTCCACAGGCCCCCAGGAAAGGCACTGGGCCACATGTATACGCATCTTCAGTAGGGAAGGGGTAAACAAGGGAATTGTGTGTACGGTATTGCCTCGATCTCCCCTAAGCACTGTTTTCTTCATAACAATTTTTTCTATTTTTGTTTTATTTCAGAGCATTGCGGGCCACCAAAAATTACCTCGGGGGCCGCATGCAGCCAGCAGGCCCCCAGTTTGACACCCCTGCTCTATATCAATTACTAATATGTACACTAAGTTATAAAGAGGTGGTGCTTGATGTATTACCTTGTTGCATTTTGGACATCTGTTGCTGTAGTAAAAATGTCTCAGTGCAGCTTTTACAGAGGTATGAAGACACTCAGTAATGGTAGCTCCATCTATTAAGTAGCCTTTGTCGATGGAACACAAGATATACGGGGTCAGCTCAGAGAGGTTAATCAGGCGATCCTCCTCATCCTCCGACTCTGGCCGCCCCCCTCCAGCCTCAGCGAGAAGTGGCTCAACTATTCATCTTCCTCTTCCGTCTCCTTGTCCTTGTTTCTGCTCAGGCAGCAGCCCGAGGGGACGGGAGTGTGAGCAACCAGGCGGCTGGCACTTCTCATGGACACCGGGGTGAGGGGAGGTGGGCATGGCAACTCGGCTTGCAGGCGGCCTGCCTGCTGCAAGCCCTTCCATGTCCCAGTCTGAGGCAGGCAGGCTTCTCGTTTTTGTTGTTGTTTGTTTTTGTTTTTGCATGTCTTATCTAGATAAAATAGGCAGGATGAATAATCTCGAGGAGGAAACAACTACGGGACTGACCATGGGGAGGGGCCGCATGACATGGAAGGGGGGGTAGCAGGAAGGGGGATCCAACAAACCCAGGGACAAGGGAACAATAAATGATCTAAAATTGACTGGTGAGAAAGGCGTCAGATGCCTGGTGGGGCTTGATCTAGTGCAGTGTAACCAAGAGGAATTAACGAAAGTTGAATGAAGGCTGAACATGATAGTGGGACAAGAGGAAAGTAAAAGGAAATAGAGGAAAGAACTAGGTGGCAAAGGACATTTATAGAGGTATAAATACAGGCACGTACATATGTAAATCTATTTATAAATGATAGTGACAGCTCTATGTACATATGTTATATATTATATGTATGTTATATAACATGTTAAATATTAAGGTAGCAGATGGCCTCTACTCAAGTACTCCCTCAACATAAGAACACTTTGTTCTAATAACCCGGCATTCTGTGATGCTCACTTTCCCAACATGATCACTGAAGACAAAATGGGTGCATAAGCCAATATGGTGAAGAAAGCTGATGGTGCCCAGCTATCAAAAGATATAGTGTCTGGGGACTTAAAGGTGTGAAGATAAATAAGCAGCCATCTAGCAGAGAAGCACACCAGCCTGTGTGATCCAGAGGTGTCAATGCGATCAGAAGACCCAGAATAAGCAATCATCATGCAAACAAGGGGTAGGGTGGAGTGGAGACCCAAAGCCCACCTGTAGACAACTGCACATCCCCTCACAGAAGGGTCACAAGGAAGGGATGAGCAAGCCAGGGTGCAGTATAGCACTGATGAAATGTAAAACATTCCTTTAGTTCTTTAATGCTTCCTCCCCCCACTCTCATGCCTCCAATTCTACCTTACACATCCGGCTAGACCAGAGCATGTACACTGGTACAGATAAACACTCAGGATCAATAATGAGAGTAGTGATACTATGAAGGTAGGGGTAAGGTGTGGATAGAAAAGGGGGAACCAACGACAATGATTGACTTATAACTGCCCCGCCCCAGGGGGAGGAACAACAGACAAGTGGGTGAAGGGAGACAGCGATTGCTGTAAGACATGAAAATAGTTGGTGAATTATTACAGGTTTGTGGGGGAGGGAGGGGAAAATGAGCTGATAGCAAGTGCTCAAGTAGAAAATGTTTTGAAAAGGATGACGGCAACGTCTACAAATGTACTTGACACAATGCATGTATGGATTGTTGTAAGAGCCCCAATAAAATTATTTTAAAAAAATTTTAAAAGAATCCTGGTTATATTGACCACTGGAAAAACTTATATTGCCGTATATGAAAGGAGCCCTAGTAGCATTGTAGGGTAAGTGGGGGGCTGCTAATTTAGACTGGCTGTTCAGACCCACCGACAACTCTGTCTGCTCCCAGAAATCTTTAGTCTCAGAAACCCTACTCTCTATGGCCGAGACAGGCTGCTTTTTATTTTATTGTTGTGGTTCTATTTATTTGAGATAGGAAACAGAAGGCATTTTGTCATGTTTGCTCCATATTTATTTTCCTCTTATTTGAAATATCTTTAATTATTTGAGATCACTGATTCAAGATTTTTTTTTTCCCCTAGACTTGCTTACAAGTATCGTCACGTATGCACCCTTAGTTCTTCAGAGTTGTTCTTCTAAAATCACAGAAACCTTTGACTATTTGTCCTTTTTGCCCCTTCAAACTGTGCAGGGTCTGCTTAAAGCGGTGCAGGTAAGTCCACTCGCTCCCAAGTAACTTGCACAAACTGAGGTTTCACTATCTAAGGGAAGTCTGATGCAGTTCCCGACAAATCCGTGTCTAAGAAATCCTGTCCCTCTGGAGTTGAAGACACACACTTTGTAGTAAAAGGGCCGGTCCACCACACCAGGCCGTTTCCCTACTTCCTTCCTCGGTATGTCGCAGCTCGCTCTCCTTTGACTTTTTCCCATCAGTGAAGTGATTGAAAGCCTCTTAGAAAATTATTGAGATGAGTAGGTTTACAGAGATATTCACAACTAGTTTCAGTGCAGTATTTCAAAAAATGCTTCTCTCTGTACTACGAAATACAATAAATACTGAAGCCTGTGTATACCTGGAACCAAAGCTCCTTACGTAAGCCAAGTGGTAGCAGCATTGAGTAGAAATGAGCTAAGGCTAATGGACTTGTTCTGTTTTTTCATACGCTGATTCTTTCTATTTCAGCCCCTTCTCAAAGTCAGCATGTCAATGAGAGACTCCCTGATCCTGGTTCTTCGGAAAGCTATGTTTGCCAGGTACGTAGCACCCTTTGAAGTCAGAGGAACTGAGTGGCATTTCCATCAAACCAGGCATTGTGCTCATTGCCGGTGTGATCTCATTTCACCCTGAGAGCAGCCCTGTGAAGTGAGCGCTGTTACAATTGCTGTCTGCAGACCAGGAGGTATAGGCCTCGAGAAGGTAGTGACTTTGCTAAGGTGGCAGAACTAGATCTGGACACAGGACTTAGGATCTCAGGTACTCTGCAGTACTGCTTCTAGAAAAATCATCAAAATAGAATTGCCATGCCAAAGACTCTTCTTGAGCTGGCCACACTTCAGAGCGGGAAACAACCTCAGGAAGAATATATTCACAAAACTCCGTTTAGCGAGCATTGGTAGTATAGTCTCCTGGTTAGTAGGGTGATACATTGTTAAGGGACCCAAGTTCTGTCTGAGCTTCAACCAGTGCCTCCTGACCTCCCTTCCTTTATTTCTTAGTATATACTACACATACACAAGATGATAATACTGCCTCCTAACAATTGTAAAGACTTCAGATGCCCAAGCAGTATCACAGAAGACTTAGTGTAATACACTCAAGGGAATCCCGAGAAACCACTCAAGAAGTATTCACACGATAAGTTTACTTCTCACTACATGGCCACAGGCTGAGGACAGTACAGACATTTCTGGATGTCATGACATCTGTAACTTGAACTAATCCTTGTGCCTCAGTGAGAAGATGGCGTGTTGTAGTTTTGGGATGGAGGGTTTACCGAGCAACAAGCACTGCGTTCCTCTGTGAAGAGATGGAGCACAGGAAAGGAAGCCCAGTAAAAGTCCGCTGTTGTCTGCGATTTAGTACTTACCATTGCATTTTTGGCAGTCTCTCGACACTCACGCACAACCCCCTCAGACTTAGGCACAGCATAGAAGCAAGTTCAGGTAGTGTCACGAGGTTAAGGAGGTGACAAAGGAGCCCCAGTGGTCCTGTGGTTATGTGCTTGCCTGCACCCCAAGAGGTCAGTGGTTTGTACCCACCCGCCGCTCAGTGGAGAAAGATGTGGGAAAACATCAGCTGAGTTCCTGTAATGCTAATTGCTTTCAACAGCGGATACCTTATTTTTAAGTGTGCAAATTGGGTTAGGTTTGCTCTACGCTTCTTGGCTTATGCACATGCCTTGTTGGTGTGGAACTAACCGAATTATTCTGACCCAGAAACCTCGCGCAATGAAACCAGAGCTGCTTGTTCATTTCCTCTCTCTTTCTGAGCCAGCCAGCTCGCTGCCCGAAAATCTGCCGTGGCCGGGTTTTTGCTGCTCCTGAAGAACTTTAAAGTCCTGGGCAGCCTGTCGTCCTCTCAGTGCAGTCAGTCTATTGGTGTCAGTCAGGTAAGATGGCGCGCACGCACTTGTCCCAGGTGTCTTGATGCAAGGTTGGCGAGGTGCCAGCTGTTTGCTTTCGCTCTTGCTCTGGTTATAAAACCAGCGTCCTGTGATGATGACCGTGATGAACGGTGAACATGGACTGTGGTCCATTTCCCATGCTGACTTGGGTTCTCAAAGATGGTAGCCATTGGCCTGGTGTGGCTTTGGAACTGACACTTCATAGAAATGTGGTTATTCTCAACTGAGTTATAGCCCAAGTGCAAAATGTACACTGGAGCTTGAAAACTTTATATGAAATAAAAGAATGTGATATATCTTATTAATCTTTTTGAGAGGATCACATGTTAAACAATGATATGATTTCAGATATGTTGGATTATCTAAATAGGTCCTCAAACTACAGCCCGCGGGCCACATGCGGCCCGCCAAGGATGTTTATCTGGCCCACCAGGTGTTTTTGCCCCGTTTGGGGTTTTTTGCCTCAAAATAAGATAATGTGCAGCGTGCATAGGAATTTGTTCAGTTTTTTTAAACTATAGTCTGGCCCTCAAATGCGTCTGAGGGACAGTGAACTGGCCCCCTGTTTAAAAATTTTGAGGACCCCTAATCTAAAATATATTTTTTAATTAATGAATCTGTTTCTTTGTCATTTCCTTTAATGTAACCACTAGAAAATTTTAAGTTGTATATGTCGCTTGCATTTTACTTCTCTGTTTTTCATAATATTTTCTGTTGGGCAATAATGTGCTAGATGCGGTGCAAAGTGCTTTCCATTCATTATTTCACTGAATCTTCACAGTCATCTGAAGATAACTGTTACTATCTTCATTTTAAAGATGAGGAAACTGAGACTGAGAAGTTACATTTTAAAGATGAGGAAACTGAGACTGAGAGAAGTTAAATAACTTGCCTAAGGTCATAGAACTACTGAGTGATAGAGTGATGTAGAATGAGAGTTTAACCCTAAGCAGTTTGCTGGCATAGTGGCTAAAGTGATCAGCTGTTCACCAAAGGTCAGCAGTTCAAACTCACCAGCCACTCCATGGGAGAAAGATGCAACAGTCCGCACGTCTATAAAGATTCAAAACCTTGGAAACCCTGGGAGGTGGTTTTACTCAGCCCTATACTGTCCATGTAAGTTGGAGTCAACTGGATGACTGTAGGTTTGGGTTTTATGTTTTGTTTTTTTTAGCCTAACTACCTTGTTATGCTGGAGTTAGGAATTGGTGATCTTTTTAAGGAAATCAAACTGGGGATGACAGTTCTTTAACATGTCCATTTCTAAGTTCAAAACTCCATACCTACCTACTTCTAAACCTATCAGGAATCTGTAGAAGATTATGTTTTTTATAAAGCCAGATTCTTCTAGTTACTGCAGGCACGTAAGTCTTTTAGGCCTTTTTGGTAAAACTCAGCATACTTTTGGCTACAAGATTCAAGTGGCACGAACTAATCAGTGTTTCTTCCTCCGCCGGTGCTGACATTGGGGAAGAATTAATCTTGTCAAAGTGCTGATAAATTCTCTCAATTCCAAAGCAGAATGAGAGCCACACTTATCACAGCATGGGAATGATTATAATGCCTGCCTCAATTGTGGGTTTTGGCATGTGGGAAAAACTAAATCTATGTTTCTTTGATCAAGAACATACTCGAGTTGCCTCTTTAATGGATGCTAGTTTGGTAAAGTAGACATGAACCAGCCTCTCTCTCTTTCAGGTCCACGTAGATGTTCATAACCGTTACAATTCTGTTGCCAATGAAACGTTTTGCCTTGAGATCCTGGATAGTTTGAGGAGGTGCTTAGGCCAGCAGGCTGATGTTCGAATCATGCTTTATGAGGTGAGTCAGCTGAGAGGATGGAGTATAGTAGCCCCGGACAACCCTTTTTCCTTTTCATGATGATAAAGTGTAGTAGAAATACTCTTATTTTATGCAGTTAGGACCAGCAGATAATAGTGGTTAGCCAGAATTGTTTAAGGTTTAAGGAATTGTTTAAGGAATTATAAAGAAGAGTTAAAACATCTAAAATGTTTTATTTTAAAATTTGTGTAAACAAATTTGTGTAAAAAAACAAAAAATTATGTTTTTTTATTATTTTATATTTATAAAAAATTTTAGTACCTGAAAGAACTCATCTCTCCTTGTTCCATTTCTTAATTTTAAAAAAGTTTTGGCTATGCTTATTTGTTTTTTGCGTTTTGAGTTTTTTTCTCTCAAAGACAAAGTTGTCCAACATCTTTCCTGAGATTCAAAAAGAAAAATCGCCATTGGAATTGTGAGCTGGTCTCTAAGACTGGGACATTTCAGATGGATAGATTTTGGAGTGGTCCTTCACGTTTGGCTGCATAAAGACAGGATGTACTTTTGAAAGTACGAGAAACTAGGTGCAAAGCCTATTTATGCTAAAAGAAAAGGCTGCTGATATGGGATGAGAGAAAAGAAGGAACCCGAGCCCTTCCTGACTGGGAAGAGGCAAGGACACAGTCGGGAGGATTGTGATTAGATGGTTAATCTTGTGATCAGAGGTCTTTTTTGCTTAGGCCAGTGGCTCTCAACCTTCCTAATGCCACGACCCTTTCATACAGTTCCTCATGTTGTGGTGACCCCAACCATAAAATTATTTTCGTTGCTACTTCAAAACTAACTTTGCTACTGTTAGGAATCTTCATGTAAATATCTGATATGCAGGATGTATTTTCATTGTTAAACATTGAACATAAAGCACGGTGATTAATCACAAAAACAAAATGTAATTATATATTGTGGAATATTTATTTCTAATTATAAATAAATTTTGTCTTGAAGCATGGTGTAGCATGGGTAACAGTCTTCAAGCTTGGGTACTCGTATGTGGGCGGACCCGCCTGGAGACAGAGGAGCGGTGTCTCAGTTTCTAAGACCATCGGAAATAATGTGTTTTCTTTTTTTAATTTTTTATAATAATGTGTTTTATGATGGTCTTAGACGACCCCTGTGAAAGGGGTCGTTCAACCCCCAAAGGGGTTGTGACCTACAGGTTGACAACCACTGGATTAAACAAATAGCCTCAACTTTCTCAGTTGTTCCTTCTGGCAAATATTGTCTCTCTATTTCTCTCTCTCTCTTTTTTTTCAAAGACCTAAGAACAGGGTAAAGAATATTGTATGATTTTTAAAGTTATGAATGTCCAAGTCACTAGTAGTTCTTAATTGCTTTCTGTTTCGTTCCTCTCAGGGGTTCTACGATGTTCTTCGCAGGAACTCGCAGCTGGCTCACTCAGTCATGCAGACCCTGCTCTCCCAGGTAAAATAGATGATGGGCCAAGGGAAAGCAAGTGGAGAGGCGTGAGAGACAACCGGTCTCCAAACTTTCAAAACTGTGATTATTCCCAACTAGCTTGCTGCTGCACGGTGCACACGCCTGTGACAGATCTTGTTTCAATCACCCTTTATCTGCCTGCCATATTGCCATCCTCTGTAACAGCCACCTCTGGTCTATCTCCTGAGGAATAGTTCTAGAAGGGCTATCAGAAGCTGTGTGTATCTGCTACATTTCTGATTGGTAGAAAAGGAAGTGATCTGAAGGAAATGCAAGTGACAGACGTCTGTTAAAGCTGAGTAACAGATTCCAGGTCCTCTGCTGTGTTCTTTTGTGTTAAATAATGTTTCTAAATTATGAACTATCTCAAAGGACCATGAGGACTAGGAGAATACAAGTGGAGAATATCTTTTGCACCTAACATGTATTCATTAAGCATCTATTTGAACCCTTTTTTGTGGCAGCAACTTTATTACATGCATTGCAACATTGTGCACCTCAACTGTAGTACAAGAACACTCACGGAGAGATGCCGCCCCCACCACAGTCTATTGTCACCTCAGAAGGAGGCCAGGATGTCCAAATTCCCCGTCAGCCCCAGGCGCCCACCCAGCCATATGCAATTGCTAATCTACTTTGTCTTTATTTGTCTATTTGGAAAATTTCATGTAAATAGAATCATATATGTGGTTGATTTTTACTTTCATGTACCATGTACATTTAACTTTGATTCCTATTGTAGCATATATCAGTCCTTACTGGCTTTTATGACTGACTAATGTTTCCTTGTATAAGATTTGAATATTTTTTCTACATTAAGAAAGTTCCTGATGCTGTTATTACTAATAGTAATAGCAACAATGGCTAATGTTTCATGTTGATTGAGGGCCAACCATCGTATGAGGGTTTGTAGAAAATTCCATTGCCCTCAAATTCACTTTTTTCATGAACTTCTGTAAATCCCCTCATAGTATTTTATAAGGCGGGGTTTTCTAGGGAAACAAAACTGGTGATACTTGTCTATCTACATAAAGAGAGAAGCGTATATCAAGAAGTGGCTCACGCCATTGGAGAAGCTATTAATAAGTCCAGTTTGTTTGGCCGATATTACTCTAGGTGATCTTTCTAAAATATATGGCTGCCTAGGGCTGGGAGCTGGGAGTTCACGGGCCAGTGGAGGGAGAGACAGATTAGCAAGTCAGGTGTTACGCAGACCTTGGATAGCTTCCAGGCTGAGCAGGTACTATCACGTGACTGGCACATTTCCCAAGAGACCAGATGCAGGATCCATGCCTGTAGGAAGGAAAGAGGGTGAATTCTGCAGAGCATCTCTTTGTAGATATCAAATAGGCCACACCCTCAAGAAGACATCCCCAGGCCGTGTAAACCACACCTCATAGGGGAGGGCTTCCTGACAAACCAAGAATCCCAGCCAAGCCAGTTGACACAAAACTGAACCATCACAAGTATTAAAGTGCTATGAGGCATTTAGGTGGATAATCCCCTTTAATCGTCACAGACATTCTGTGGAATAACTGCCCTCTGTTTTTCAGGTTTATATTTTAAGCCTCTGAGAAGTTAAGAAATGTCATTTGCCCAAGGTCACACAGTAAATAAGTGACAGAGCTGGGATCGGAACTCTGGTCTTTGACTCAAAAGCCCAGGCTTACCCAGTGTGGGCACTGACCTGAAAAGCTTCCCGTGCAGATTGAGCACTAAAGTAAATGTAAGAACTACACTCACCCAGTAACCTGGGCAACTAACTATTTTCTCATGATCTCTGTTTATCTACATAAAATCAGTGCAAGGAGGTCATTTTTAAGACCTCTTCCACTTTTTAACATACTGTGAACTTCCATGACCTAAGGTGATTCTCAAACACATGACCTAACTTTCCTGTAGTCTTCTTCCTGACACATCGCCCCTGTTGGGTTTTGACTCTGGAGTTTGATTCAGAAAGCCCCGCTGATTCCCCACTGCCTGTGGAGTGCATAGTGACAGCTCTCTTGACTCAGTTGATGCAAGTTGGTTTCCTCTGCAATTTTGGAATTAGTCTGAGAGAGTATAATGATTTCTAGAAGAGGGCTCTTTTAAAATAATTACTTCCCCCAAATCAGAATACTAGGGGGATGAACAACAGAAACATGGGTGAAGGGAGGTGGCAGTTGGTGTAAGATATGAAAATAATAATAATTTATAATTTTGCAAGGGGCCTCGAGGTAGGAGAGGGGGGAGGGTGGGAAAAAAGAGGAGCTGATACCAAGGTCTCAAATAGAAAGTGTTTAGAAAATGATGATGGCAACATATGTACAAATATGCTTGATTCAGTTGATGTATGGATTGTTATAAGAGTTGTAAGACCCCCAATAAAATGATCTTTAAAAAAAATCAGAATAAAAACAACCTATCTCAAACCATAGAATTGTTTTCCAGATAGAGATGTTTAGATAGAAAGGAGGAATTTCTCCATGTTTTCATTACAGACATGTTGACTGCTGGTCGAATATCACAAGCTTTCGTTTGCATGTTTCCTTAGAGTACAGAGTATTTTAGATATGTGTGTGATATGCGCATGGCATCTAGTTTAAGACATTGACTATTACCAACATCCCTCGGGCCCCCTGTAGGCCTCTCTGTGTTACTTGTGTCCCAGGGCCCATCACAGCATGAGCCCAAATATCCAAAAGGGAAAAACAACCCAGCTGCCCATGAGCAGAGGAACGAGTACATTAACCAAAGCAAAAGACTGACGTTCTAATACACACTACATCGCTGTAGTAGATGACTGCAGAGCCAGACCAGCAGTAGGCAGCATTGTAGGCTTCCCGCCCACGTTGTGAGGGAGCTGAGGGCCTTGGGTGGAGGAGGCTTGCTGGGAGAGTAGGATGCTTCTGGGCACTTAACATTGCAGCCGTGAAGCTCCATCACTCTTGTCAGAGCCAGGCACAGAGGCTAGGCTGAGGGACCAAGGGCGAGAGAAAGGTTTGCCTGCAGGCACAACTGAGCCAAAGCTGTCCTCACCAGAAAACACCTGTATCCCGAGTCAGCTCTGATCCTGAATTGTAGGCTGTTGCGGCCCTCACAAACATTATAGTCGTGAGCATTATCTGATAGTTCTGTGTGGCCATTGCAGGGAATTGGCAAACCCAGCAGAGGAATACAGTCAGAATTGCTGAAAAGGTTGGAGGGAGGAGTTTTACCTACTCCTCATAGGAATCCAAGGTGGACGGACTGTGGGTCTTGATTCTCTCTTCCCCCTTAGGGAGTTAGATGAGGTTATGTGCTTGTCCCGTGGGGAGTGTTCCCTTTTCTCCTAGCTTGTGTGAAATGTGGAATTGTTACTTCTCTTATTTCGTTTTCCCCCTGATTTGTTGGGATGTTACATACAATCTAAGCTAAAATTTAAAATTGCTATTTTGGTTTGAGGGCCACACAAACCAAAAGAAACCAAACCACCCCCATGGAGTTAACTCCGACCCCTAGTGGCCCTCCACAGTGAACTCTTAAGACTGGGTCTTGACTGGCGCAGCCAGCTCCATCTTTGTCCAGCTGACAGCTGCTTGGAACCAGTGATCTTGCAGTTAGCAGTTCAGTGCTGGGACCACTGAGCCACCAGGGCTCCATGCAGAGTTAGTATATCAGTGGTACTCCTAGCCGTTAGCCGTGAGACACTCTCCAGGAGCATGTCTCCTCTGCCCACCCCACCCCGCTTACCCACAGCCCCCCTAGAATAAAGATGTCTCAAAACAAGCAAGCGAACTCACTGCCATGTCGCTGGTTCCGACTCATTGTGACCCTTGGGCCGGGTAGGAAAGCCTCTGTGAATTTCTAGGACTGTAAACCCTTAAGGGAGTAAAAGGCCTCACCTTTTCCTGAGGGAGGCTGGTGCTTTTGAACTTCTGACCTTGTAGACACTTGATTTCTCTTTCAGTGTTAGTTCCCTTTGGGAGATCCACCTGTCTGTGCGGCTCTGGCACAGCCTTCCACCTCAAGGGAGCTCTAGGCTTTGGTTCTAGTTCCGTGAGCCTCTCCAGCTGCAGCCTCTGACTGGCAGGTGCTGTCAGAGCAAACACTCCCTCCAGGGCCCCTTCCTTTGCTAGGTTCATGCTTTCTGACCTTTCCCCATATATCCAGGCCTCTGAGGAATTCTTTACCTTCCCGTCATCTTAGTTATGTGTTTGAGTAAACATATCTGTATCTGTCAATCAGTGTGCATTTTTAAAAATCATTTTATTGGTGGCTCATACATCTCTTATCACAATCCATACATACATCAGTTGTGTAAAGCACATTAGTACATGCGTTGCCCTCATCATTCTCAAAACATTTGCTCTCCACTTAAGCCCCTGGCATCAGCTCCTCATTTTTCCCCCTCCTTTCTCACTACCCCCTCCCTCATGAACCCTTGATAATTTATAAATTATTATTTTGTAATATCTTGCTCTGTCTGATGTCTGCCTTCACCCACTTTTCTGTTGTCCGTCCACCAGAGAGGGGGTTATATGTAGATCTCTAATCGCTTCCCCCTTTCCACCCCACCCTCCCGGTATTGCCACTCTCACCACTGGTCCTTAAGGGATCATCTGTCCTGGATTCCCTGTCAGTGTGCATTTTAAAATCTGTTGTTGTTCCTTACTAAGAGGGTTTCTTTAGACACAGAGTCCGCCTGTTTGGAAAGAAAGGAAAGTTTTCTCCTTTTTAAAATGTCATTGTTTTGTAATAACTCAGCTGAAGAAGCCACATTTAAAATTAAGGTCTTGATTCCACCTGATAGTGACCCTGGGAGCAGTAATTATTTGCAAGCCCTGTGTTATTCATCAAAAGCTTTCTATTGGGCCTTGAGCCTGATTCCATACAAAATTAGCGTATATACTTAAGTATAAGCCAAGTTTTTCAGCACATTTTTTGTGCAGTCTTGTGATAAAACTAGGATATTTGGGTCGGCTTATACTTGCATATATGCGGTATATTGTAAGCCCTGGGGTGGCTTTGGGTGTGACAGACCCACCAGCCACTCTATGGGTAGAAGTTGAAGCTGTCAGTCCCTGTAGTTATTTACAGTCTCAGGAACTAGGGTTGCTTTGCTTTGAAATTGACCTCGTAGCAGTGGGCTTTTATTAGTTATGCACATTTTTTTTTTTTCTGGAAAGGCTTTATTATTGGGGGTGGGGGGGTGACGATGACATGGCACTCAGTCCTTCTTGGCAGCGGCCTTCCTCATGGCTGCAAGCACGTTGCTTAGCTCCTCTCTCTTCCTCTTAGCCCGGATGTGTGTGCCCACCTGGGAACACAGTGGGTTGGTGAGCTCAGCTTCCCACCCCCCACAGTGGGCCCGGTTGGCACCCCAGTCCCTGAGGGACAGCCACCTACCCGCTTCTTGATGAACTTAAGTGCCCGCTTGTCCTTGGAGACCTTGAGCAGCTCCATGGCCCTTCGCTCGTAGGGTGCAAAGCCACACACCTCCCGGATCATGTCCCGCACGAACTTGGTGTGCTTGGTGAGGCGCCCGCGGCAGCGGCTGTGCCTCGGCTTGCTCACGTTCTTGGTCACCTTGTGGCCCTTGTCGAGGCCCACGGCCATAGGGTAGCGCACAGCCATGGCTGCTACTCTTCGATGGCTCCCACAGCGGAAGGCAGTTATGCACATTTAACACTAGTAGAAAGTTATGGTTGAAGACATAAGAGACCTAGAGCTATGCTTTCTAATTCAAGTTCATATAAGGACTAGAGGTACAAACAGGTAAGCTCTTTTCTACTGGGTTGACAGTTCAAAACTGGAGACATCTCAGAAGACAGACCTGGTGAACTGCTTCCAAAAGGTCCCAGCCTTAAAATCCCCGTGGGGCATGTCTACTCTGCACACGTGGTTGAAGATGTGGGTTGAAATAGACTCAGTGGCATCTGATGGCAACAACAACGAAATTCTTCCGAGTCCAAGATGGGAAAGGAGAAAAATAGGAACTGACGTCTTTTCCAGCTCTGTTACATGCCAGTTAGTAATAGAAGCACTGTACGTTGTAGTGCTTAATCCTTAAACATGACCCTGTACTTGTATTTTAGTAATATCCTCGTAATACAGCTGAGGAACCCGGACACGGACACCCGTTGTCACTATAGCACAGAGTAGAGCTGCTCCAGGGAGCTCGCAAGACTGTCATCTTTGTAGAGGCAGACCCCCAGGGAGCAGTTGGCAGATTAGAATCCCCCCCTTTGGGTTAGCCATCAAGTACTCAGCTGTGCCACCAGGATCCCTTAAACTAGCATGGTCGCTTTACCAAAACCTACAGTCAGTGGTGGTGCTAAGATTTGGGGCTCAGTCTCTCTCCTCTCAAGCCTATGCTCTGAGCCCCCATGCTGGCTGCCTTTGCAGTCTAGGAGTTGATGAGGGGCTTGGGAGTTTTCGGAGAGAGGCAGCGGGGTGGACTGGGAAAGTGCATTGCCTAGAATGCTGGCAAAGGATGTGGGCTGGCCAAGGCTGCAAAAACAGTGCTATACTTCTTGGGACGGTTGAGAGATGTAGCTTCTAAGGCATTGTGCGTTAAGCAGTGCCATTACCTTGACCAGTTAAAAAAGTGAAGTGCATTTTGCAATGTCTGTGTTCTTTCTGATCCACAGTTAAAACAGTTCTATGAGCCCAAACCTGATCTGCTGCCTCCTCTGAAACTGGAAGCTTGTATTGTGACCCAAGGGGACCAGAGCTTTCTACAGGAACCACTGGTGAGACTTCTTACTTCCGTCTACAACCGTTGTTCTGGTTGTGAGGTTAGGGTCAATCTTCAGGAAGAGATACTTTCCTTTTCCCTGTGGACCTGCCTTCCTGGTCCTCCCTGTGAATTTTTGCTTTTAAATCTTACCTACATCTTTCCAGGCCCACCACCACCTTGGGTCTCTGGGTAAGAAATTTCCACATCAGCCCTTGATCTTTGAGTAGGTACACAAAACCAATATGCTTTAGAGGTGGAGGGTGGGGGTGGTGCCATCTATGACCCCAGGAAGTGTGCTGGGCTGTTGACTCAGAGAGGGATAGGAAAGCTAGGGTGGTTTTCTGGTCTCGTTATCTGGGCTCCAAAAGAGGACAGACAGAAACGCCTCACCTCAAGTGACTAACTCGCTGAGCACGGGAGGTGGGCAGTCTTTCTGCTGGTCTATCCTGCCTTCATGGGTGCCTTCTGTGGCATGAGAGGTGCACTGCCTCAGGACGGAACACGCCTTCCAGAATTCCCTTGGCACAAACCCTGAGCCTCAGAGTAGTCCCTAAGACTGAAAGGGACGAGAGAGTATTTAACTGCACAGTCTCACTGACTACCAGACCAGAGAGCACATATCTGGTCTGCAGTCCGAGGCACCAGCCACTTGTAAGGCTGCTTTGGTAAAAGTTCAGAAAGCCATGCCTTCAATTCGTTTCTCTCATTTTTATTCCGTCAGCTTGAGTTAGTTTGTTATGCTAATGAATAACTTAGTTTCGCTGTATAGACAAGAACTTGTTACGTACAAACTGCTTCATAGAGCTCCCTTCGCTCTGGAGCACATCTCCCTGTTTTCTTCTTCAGGCTCAGCTGCTGTGTTGCATTCATCACTGTCTGGCCTGGTACAAGAGTAAAATGATGCCCCTGCAGCAGCAGCAGCAGGAGGAGGAGGAGGAGGAGGAGGGATTCTACCAAGCCTTGGATGATATGCTGGAGTCCATCACGAATAGAATGGTTAAGAGTGAGCTGGAAGACTTCGAACTGGTAATTGCCAGGTCCTCGGCGGCATTGACTCCTAGGGGTATTTAAGTATAAGCTCATGAATTTCTGCCTTGTATCTTTTAGGATAAATCATCAGATTTTTCTCAGACTTCTGATACTGGCATCAGAAACCACTTCAGTGCTCTTCTTGTAATGGGCATTTGTGAGGTTTTGATAGAATACAATTTTTCCATAAGTAATTTCAGGTAAGGTTTGGTGACAGTTCTATTTGATGGTTGGATGGTGGTGGTGGTTAACTCTAGCAAGGTTGTTGCACGGACAATGACATTACTGCTTAGATGGACAATCTATTCTAAGACCAGACTGTTCTTTCCACCAGAGAACATAGGTCAAGAAGACCTGCGAATGTTAACAGCCAGTAGGCCGTTGCTCAGTTTCCCAGGCCCTAAACTCAGGAAGCTGTCATTTTACGGGGGTGATTTTAACTGATGGTATTCTGACTGGACTGGTACAAATAAGAGAGGGGACAAAAAGGGAAAAACAGTGCTGTGTGGCGCGGCCTATGTTAATAAGGATCCCAAAATATGACGGCTTATGCAGTGGTCTCTCTTTATTTTTATACAGTAAGAATAAATTTGAGGATATGCTAAGTTTGTTCCTGTGTTACAAGAAAGTCTCTGACATCTTTAAAGAGAAAGCTAGTAAAGGCAAAACCAAACTAGCCATCAAAACAAATGATAGTCTTTTGTCCATGAAGTTTGTGTCAGATCTCCTCTCTGCACTGTTCAGGTAAGATTCAAATACATCGCTTAAAGAACTCCTGCCCAGATTCACGCTATCACCTCTTTTGGATGTATGTCCAACAGGTTTGTCATGTTCTTGAAATGAAAGCTAGGTAGGCATTTTGAAAGGTACCTCAAATTATCAAAAAGAAAATTAGAAAGCATGGAATAATGAATGAAAAGATAATAAAGAATTCTAACAAGGTTCTGTTGGTCTGGGTAGACTAAAGAAACAAATCCTTGGACACACATATATGTATAAGAAAGAGATTTATATACAAGAGCAATTGAACATTGAGAAAACATCCCAGCCCAGTCCAGATCAAGTCCATAAGTCCGATATTAGCCCATATGTCCGATACCAATCTATAAAGTCCTCTTCAGACTCACGAAACACATGCAGTGACACTGAATGTAGAAAATCACAGGCCAGTGGGTAGAAAGTCTTTGGATCCAGTGTTATTGGAAACATCTCAGCACGGGCAGGGGTCTCTGCATCAGGGTGGGTCCATGGGTCTTGTCAGCTGCTCTGTCTCCCAGGGAGTGAGCAGAGTCTCCCACCTCCAAGAAGGAAATCCCAGATTTCCCAGAATTCTCGGGGGAAGGCCATGCCCATACAGAAGCCTCATTGGCTATGATCCAATTGACAGACTGGACTCCACCCCTTCACTCATAATCCTCACAAATTGACAATTATATAACTACCACGAAGATATTATAAGAAACTACCTAAGAAGCATGAATGTAAGGATCCTGGTGGCGCAGTAGTTAAACTGCTCAGCTGCTGCCCCAAATGGCTAAAGGTTCAAATCACTAGCTGCCCTGCTGGAGAAAGATGCAGTCTGCTTCTGTCAAGATCACAGCTTTGGAAACCCCGTGGGGCAGTTCTGCTCTGTCCTGTAGAGTTGTAATTAGTTGTATTAACTTGAGCATGTAACAGATTTTTTAAAAAGAACTAATTTTTAAAAGACAAAGTAACAAAAACTAGAGAAAGACTAAGGCTAACCTTTAACTTTCATGAAACTCAAAAGGTAGGAGAAAATGAGGCAAGACTAAGGGTGATGATTATAAGACGGTAACCATGCCAGTGACCCTGCCATGAACTGGCAGGAGAGTCTGCTGTTAGTGGTTGCTGATATGCTGAGGACTTTCAGGAGCCTCGCTCTGGATCCCAGTAGCACTGGGCACATCTCTTTTCCTCTCTAGGGATAGTACCCAAAGCCATGAAGAAAGCCTGTCTGTTCTGAGGTCCAGCAATGATTTTATGCGGTACACAGTCAGCGTGGCCCTGCAGAAGGTGCAGCAGCTAAAGGAAACAGGGCATGTGAGTGGCCCCGATGGCCAGAACCCAGACAAGGTCTTCCAGAACCTCTGTGACATAACACGGTAAGCCACGCCAACCCTCAGAAAATATGGTTCCTCTTGTAGCACATTCCTCAGGAGAGGAAATGGAGGGGGGGAGATAGAGGCAGTTAGTGGCATGTTAAGAGTGAAAGTGCAATCACTACTACTGGGTCTTTCTTCTAGTTTAGTCACCTAGAAACTATTCGTATCAATCATCAAATGAGTCATGGAGTCCAGGTAGCATTCCTGAGTGTGTATGCCTCTAAAAACAACGTTTCAAAATATTCGAAGCAAAAGCTAGCAGAACCCAATGGAGAAACAGACAAAGCCTCAGTTTTCATTGCAAACACGTACCCCTCTCTAGTAATCAGTAGAACTGGTTACTTGAGTCCATTCTGACTCCTCGTGGGCTTCCCTAGGCTAATAACCTTTACAAGAAGAGCCCTGTGGCACGGTGGTTGAGTGGTTGTCTGCTAACCTAAAGGTAGAACCTACCAGAATTCTATGGGAGAAGATGTGGCAGGCTGTTTCCACAAAGATTTAGCACCTTGGAGACCCTATGGGGAAGTTTTACTCTGCCCTATAGGGTCGCTATAATGAAAAGCAAGAAAGATATCCAATTATCTAAGCTACCAAACCTTAAGGAACTAGGAAAGAAAGAACAAATTAAAGCTAGCCAGAGGAAGTAAAAGCAGAAATCCACGAAAATAGAAAAACAGTGGAGAAGATGAATTGAGCCCAAAAGCTGAGTCTTTAGAAAGTCAATAAATGTAATAAATTTTAATTAGACTGATTATGGAAAAAGACATAAACTACAACTATCCTTAATGAAGCCAGGAACATCACTACTGATCCCACAGACATTTCAATATTTTTTCTTTGTTTGTTTTTAATCATTTTATTGCGTGTACAACTCATCACAATCCATCCATCCATCCATTGTGTCAAGCACATTTGTACATTTGTTGCCATCATCATTCTCAAAACATTTGCTTTCTGCGTGAGCCCTTGGTATCAGCTCCTCATTTTTTCTCCTCCTTCCCTGCTTCCCCCATGAATTCTTGATATTTTATAAGTTATTATTATTTATATATACCATATCTTTCTGTTGTCAGTCACCCAGGGAGGAGGTTATATGTAGATCCTTGTAATTGGTTCCCCCTTCCCATCCCACCTTCCCTCCACACATTTCAATATTGATAATGAAATATAAACAACTTTATGCAAGTAAATTTTAAAAATAGACAATTAAGCTCACACAAGAAGAAATGGGTAACCGAGTAATCTTATGTCTGCTAAAGAAATTGAGTTCATGGTTCAAAATTTTCCCTCAAGGGAAGCTTCAAAGCTGGATCTCTTCATTGGTGAATTCTACCACACATTTAGGGAAGTAATGCCAGTTCCATTGTAAACTCTTCCAGATGGCGGAAGAAAAGGAAGCACGTCCAGCCCATTCTATGAAGCCAGAATTACCTTAACATCAAACAAAATACTAAATCTCTCCAAAAATGTTTCTTTTTTAGAATAAAAAATGGCATTTTCTTATTAGCTGTGTTGCTAATGGATCCTCAAAACCTGAGCCTACTGAATGGGTGAGTGTAGTATCTAAGCCAGGCCCTGCACACCCGCTCCATGCAGGCATGTGTGCCAAGCACGGCAGTGAGCTGGCCCCTCCTAACTTTTAAAATTTAATGCTGCAAATGTAATCTAAACATTTATAAATAGAGAATATAACCTGATGAAGTAGCATTGTTTTCCAGGAACACAAGGTTGGCTCAAAACTTAAAATTCATCATTATCAGCAGAATGAGAAAACCTGATCTCAGTAGATGTAGAAAATAAAAGTTAACTACATTCATGATTTTAAAACTCTTAAACCAGTAATAAAAGAATTTTCTCATCTAATACGGAAAATACATCAAAAAGAAAATGTGTTGAAACCGATGGTGGCAGCAATTGTACAATTATGCTTGATCTAATTGAATTATTATATATCCCAATAAAAATTAATTTAATTAATTTTTAAAAATAATTTTGAAAAAGACAGAAAAGAAAATCTACAAAAATACCTACAGTTAACTTTTTACCTAGTAGTGAAATGCTGATTACTTTCCTCTCCACCTGCTACTGTTAACTTTATTATTACTATTCGGCATCGGACTTCTTGAGGTCCTAGTCAGTGTAATAAGGCAGAAAAAAGCAATAAAAGGCATCTAGGGCCGAAAAGAAGAAATAAAACTCTGTGCATGGTTGTGTGTGTGTTAACTATATATGTAACAAACATTGATTATTTCAAAACTCTTCACATGTACCCTTCTGTAATACTGTTTTTCAACCAACACCATTTTCTATTTCCGAATTTTTCTATCACCTTTAGCAGAATAAAACTGTCTTTATAAATAGATTATATGTCTATGCAGAAAATTCCAACGATTAATGAAAAAACAAATTTACTAGATCAGTTAAGTAACTTTAGCAAGGTTACAACCTTCATTGCTACAAGACCAATATTTTAAAATGAGGTATATTTTTATTTCCATTCCAGCAGTGCATAGTTAAAAGTTAAATTTAAAACACTACTTACATTTACCATAGTACTAAAAAACATGAAAACTGTTTAGACGTAAATCTCACGTGTGTACAAGATTTGTGTGATAAAAACTATAAAACATTATGGAAGAGAAACCATTAATGTTAAGATGTGTCTTCCTCCCAAATCGGTCCCATAAATTCAATACAATCTAAATAAAAATCATTACAGGTGATTTTGTAGAAACTGACAAGCTGATTCTAAAATGGGGGTGGGGGGGCGAAGAGCTGGGGTTCGATAGAAAGTGTTTACCAAGGGTTCGAATACCAAGGGTTCGATAGAAAGTGTTTAGAAATTAATGAGCAGCATATGTACAAATATGCTTGATATAATTGAAGTATGGATTGCTGTAAGAGCCCCCAAATGATCTTTTCATTTTAAAAAATTAAATAAATTAATTAAAAGTAAAATGCATGGAAAAGCAAAAAGATCTAGAATATTTATAACAAATTTGAAAGAAAACATTATTAGATTCACACTACCTGATTGCAAGTTTTACTGTAGAGCTACTCTAGTTATACATTTTGGTATTGGGGAAAATGGAACTGAATAGATATTTCAGCAGTAGACCCATGAAAATTGTCCATGTGGTGCCAGGGTAATTTCAGGATAACAGAAAGTGTCTGAGATAAGTCATTTTGAGCAGTTGGATTGTTCTGTGCAATAAACAATAGCGGTTAGGCATTGGGCTGCTAGCCACACGTTCAAAACCGCCAGCCGCTCTCAGGGAAGACATGACGCCTTCACTCCGGTAAAGGGCTGTCTTGGGAACCCAGAGGGGCAGTTCTCCCCCGGCCCTCCGAGTCATTGCAGACTCCACAGCAGTGAAGTGCAATAAGAAGAACCTCTGTGTGCATTCCTGCACACTATGCACACACAGAATACACCCACAATATGCATGCACATTATAGATAAAAATGGAAAACTAAACTATAAAACTTTCAGGAAAAAATATTAAAAAAAAATGTTTGTGATCTCATGTGAAGGAAGGAAATTTTTAGCACAGTCCATGAAAGAAGAGATTTAAAACTGTTCTTTAAAAAACACTTGTAAGAAAATGAGAGGACAAGCCATAGATTTGGAGAAAATATGCGCGAAACACGTGTCTGACAAAAGACTGGTAATCCTAGTACAAGGGTAAGTCCAAAAGTGTGACTTCCAGTGTCTGTTCAGACGTGTGTAAGCTTACTCCAAACGAAACGTGTTTAAACCACTTCTGCAGTCAGTGACTGTGTACAGGTGAGTTCTCTCCGTAATGCACCCATCTTAGTCTGCTTAGGGTGCCTTCCAAAAAAGGTCTAATCAAAACAGCTTCCAAGGAGATGTGCTGGGCCCATTAAATTCCAATCAGAAAGAGCAGCTCAGCAGGTAACTATTTGGGAGCATCCACATGGATCTGGGTAGACTTTCTCAAAGGACACAGAGCAATCATAGGAGCTTATGAAGAAGTTTTTAGAAAGTTCTAAATTACATTGGTGAGGTAAGGCTTCCCAAAGTTGAATTGAGGAATTTTTTTCCATCCCAACAGTGCACCTGCTCATTCTTCAAGGGTCGCAAGGGATGTGCTATACTACACCCTGACTGACTTGTCTCTTCCTTATGACCCTTCTGTAAGGTGATGTCCAATTGTCTACAGACGGGCTTTGGGTCTCCACTCCATACTCCCCCCTCATTCACATTTGATAAGATTTTTTGTTCTGGGTCTTTTGATGCCTGATACCTGATCCTATTTACACCTCATGATCACAGAGGCTGGTGTGCTTCTCCCATGTGTACTTTGTTGCTTCTCAGTTAGATGGCCGCTTGTTTATCTTCAAGCCTTTAAGGTCCCAAATGCTATATCTTTTGATAGCTGGGCACTATCAACTTTCTTCCCCGCATTTGCTTATGAATCCATTTTGTCTTCAGCGATCTTTTCAGGAAGCTGAGTCAGGGAATGCCAGGTTATTAAAACAAAGTGTTCTTGTGTTGAGGGAGTACTTGAATAGAGGCCCAATGTCTGTCTGCTACCTTAATATTTAACATAAATATATATACATAGATCTTTTTCCCTATTGTTATATAAAAATATATTTACATATTTACATGCCTGTATTTAGACCTCTGTAAATGCCCATTTGCCTCCTTTTACTTTCCTCTTGTCCGTCTATCGTGTTTGGCCTTCATCCGGGTCTCAGTAATTCCTCGCCGTTACATTGCCATTGATTAAGCCCCCTAGGCATCGTACGCCCTTCTCCATCGATTTTAGATCATTTGTTGTGTCCTTGTCCCTGGGTTGATTAACACCCCCCTTCCTTTCTCCCACCTCCCCATCTCCCACCAGTGGAACCTGCGGCTCCATTGTTTTCTCCTCCGGATTGTTTATCCCACCTATCTTATCTAGATAGACATGAAGAGACAATAATAAATGCAAAAACATGACAACAAAAGAAGACAAAACAAAAGGAAAACCATTGACAAAAAGGAAAAGCCTATAAATAGTTCCAGGTCTGTTTTTTGACCTTTAGGAATGTTTTGGAGTCGAATCTGATGGGGTGCCACACTCTGTCTCCAAAGTCTATTTTTGGTATTCCCTGAGGACTTCATTGGTTTGCTCCCCTTGCCTGCTCTGTTGCACGCCCTTAGTGTTTTGCCACAGTGTGATGGGGTCAGATTGGGCACAATTCCTGTACTGTGTCTCCAGTGTTGTCCCCTGTAACGCTTTGGGGCAGTGAGGGATATCGTGTCTGGTAGGGCTGGTCCTATGGTTCTCTCTGTGCATTGGCTGCTCTGAGCAGGATGTCATTCTCAGGGCTTGGTGGATCAGGATGTGTCCCACTCTCTCTCCTTCCTTTGTTTGCTCCTGTGTACTCTGATCAGATGTGCCCCTCTCCCTGAGCTGCAGCTTCAGTGCTGTCCTCTGAAGTGCATTCTTCTGGGGGGAGGAGGGGGAGTGTTCATGTAGTTGGATTTGGGGCTGGCCCTGCAGACCCCGCTATTGATTCCCTGCTACATGCCAGTATGTTGTATTTATGTCTTGGCCACCAGGTTGAAGCCTGGTCTCTCTCCCTCTCCTGTGGAGATACAAACAATACCCTCCCCTTGGGTAGGTGTTAGTGCCCTGCTCAAACACCCCCCCTCCCTCCCCCAATCTCTTTTTCTTTTTTCTCTTTTCCCCTCCTATTTAGTTGGCTGCCATATGTATCCCTGGATTGGGTCTGGCCCTGCCATAATACCTGGACCTCACCCCAGGAATGTATGTACACAGCAGCCCCTGTTGCATTTTTAAGCTTATCTCAGTGGACTTGTGTTGTACATGTCCTTTTGTGCTTGGCTTACTTCACTTAGCATAATTTCTCCAATTCTTCCCATGCGGCAATGTACTTCATGAGTTCATCACTTTTTTAGGGATACATAGTACTCCATTATATGTATGTACCACAGTTTTTGATCCATTCGTCTGTTGAGGGAAACTTGGGTTGTTTCCAACTCCTTGCAATTGTAAACTGTGCCGCAGTGAACATTGGAGCACAGATGTCTGGCCATGGTGTCTTTCTTGCCTCTTCTGGGTACATGCCCAGTAGGGGAATTGCTGGGTCGTGTGGTAGCTCAATGTCCATCTGTTTTAGATATTGCCAAATCGATTTCCATAGTGACTGTACATACTTACAGGTCCATCAGCAGTGGATGAGAATTCTTGTCTCACCACAGCCCCTCCAACACTTGTTACTTGCTGATTTCTCAAATTGGGCTATCTTTGAGGGTGTGAGGTGGTATCTCATTTCTCTTATGACTAATGATCGGGAACATTTTCTCATGTTTATTGGCCATTCAGATTTCTGCCCTTGTGAAACTTCTGTTCAGTTCCTTTGCCCACCTCGTCAGTGGGCAATTAGTGTTTTTCTTTTTGGAAGCTAGCAGAGTATTGTAGAGTTTCTCAATAAGACCTCCGTGTGATGTTGTTGCTAAAGATGTTTTCTCAGTCCGTGGACTCTCTTATTACTCTCTTGGTGAATTCTTTTCGATGTACACAGGTGTTTTATCTTCTGTATACTCTACTTGTCAAGTTGTGCCTCCTCTGTATTTGTATCCTTCCCTATTTCTGATAGCCTATGTATTCCTTGTGCCAAAGTTCTCAGGTTTGTCCCAATTTCCTCATTGATGGCCCTAATTGTTTGGGGGTTTTTCTCGAGGTCTGTGATCCACCTTGAGTTTGTTTTTGTGCATGGAGTGAGGTAAGGGTCTTGCTTCATTTCTCTGCAGGTAAATATCCATTTTTTTCCACCACCACTTGTTGAAGAGGGCATCCACTTTCCATCTGATATTTTTGGGCCCTTATCAAAGATCAGTTGTCTGTATGCTGATGATTTTATTTCTGGGTTTTCAGTTCTTTTCCATTGGTCTGAGTATCAGTCATTATACCAATACCATGCATTTTTGACAACTGTGGCTGTATAGTATGCGCTAAAGTCAGGTACTAAAGCAAGCCCTCCCACTGTGTCCTTCTTGAGGAATTCTCTGCTAATTCTGGGCTTTTTCTCTCTCCATATGAAGTTGGTAATCAGTTTTTCAAATTCTTTGAAGAAAGATGAGGGTAATTGTATTGGGATTGCATTAAATTTATATAGTGCCTTTGACAGAACTGGCATCTTTATTATACTTAGTCTTCCGATCCATGAGCATGGGATATTCCTTCCATTTGTTGAGGTCACTCTTGGTTTCTTGTAATAGTGTTCTGAAATTTTCCTTGTACAAATCTTTTGGGGTTTTTTTAATCAGGTATATCCCTAGATATTTTAATTTATGCTTGGCTATTTTGAAGGGTACTACCTTTTTGATCCCCTCTTCTGTGGTCTTTTCTGATGTGTATAACAGTCCGATGGACTTCTATTTGTTAATCTTGTATCCTGCCACTCTGCCATATTCTTCTTTTGCTTTCAGTACTCCCTGTGTGGAGCTTTTGGGATTTTCCATATATAAAATCTATCATCTGCGAATAACGATAGTTTCACGTCTTCCTTCCCTAAGCTAATGCCTTTGATGTCTTTTCTTTGCCTTATGTTATTAGCTAGGACCTCCAGTAAGATGTTAAATAAGAGTGGGGACAAGGGGCATCCAGTCCCCTTTTTCAGTGGGATCGTTTTCATCTTTTCTCCATTGACTGCCACGTTGGGTGTTGGTTTTTCATATATAGCTTGTATTATATCGAGGAACTGTTTTTTTGAGTGTCTTAAAACGGATTGGTATTGGATGTTGTCGAATTGCCTTTTCCGCATTTATCGATATTATGTGATTCCTATAATTTTTCGTGTCAATATGGGAAATAATACTAATGGTCTTTTGTATGTTGAACCATCCCTGTATCCCTGTATGAATCCCACTTGGTTATGGTGAATTATTTGTTTTATATACTTTTGTATTCTATTGGCCAGTATTTTGTTAAGGATTTTTACATCTATGTTCATTGGAATATTGGTTTGTAATTCTCAATTCCTTTGGGATCCTTGCCTGCTTTAGGTATCAGAGTTATACTAGCTTCATAGAAGGAGTTCAGGAGTTTTCCGTCTCTTTCTATGTTCTGGAAGAGTTTGTGTAGGATTGGTGTCAGTTCTTCCCTGAATGCTTGGTAGAATTCTCCTGTGAAGCCTTCTGGTCTGGGGGATTTTTTGTTGGTAATCCCTTGATAACCTTGTCTATTTCTTCTATTGCTATGGGTCTGTTGAGGTTCTTGATGTCCATAGGGGATAGTCTAGGGAGGGATTGTTTTTCCAAGTATCTGCCCATGTCTTCCATATTGTTGAATTCATTGGAGTATAGGCCTTCATAGTACTGTGTAATTATCCTTTTGATTTCATTAGGGTCCATTGTAATTGGGCATGGACTCTTAGACATGATACACAAAGCATGAGTAATCAAAGAAAAATTGGGTAAATTAGACTTCATCAATATTTTAAAATTTTGTACATCAGGAAACTGAAAGGCAATGACCAGAAGGGGAGAAAATATTTGGAAACCATATAGCGAATAATACTCTACTACCCAGAATAACCAAAGAAGTTCTACAATAAAAAGGCAGCCCACTTTAAAAATGGGCAAATAACTTGAATAGATGTGTTTCCACAGATGATACACAAGTATCCAATAGAGCCCTGCAAAGATATGATGCTTAGCACCCCTGGTCATTAACCAAAAACTAAACCCAACAGCCATGGAGTCGATTGTAGCACTGTCCCGAGAAGCCGCTAGAGTGGACCTTGAAGGTCTCCGCCCACTGTGTAACCACCCAACTCACTGCCCCACGTCAGGGCTGGCGCACAGGGACCCCTCTGTGGGTTTCTGAGACTGATGTTTGCAGGAGTTGAAAGCCCCGTCTGTGTCCTGCGGAATTGCTGGGGGTTTCAACCTGCTGACCATGCAGATTGCAGCGCAGTGCAGGAGCACTGCACCTGCAGGGCTCCAGGTTTCACTAGTCACTAGGCAAATGCAATTGAAAACCACGGTGAGATCCTAGTTCACACTCGGGACAACAGCTCTGATTAGAAAATAGCAAGTGTGAGGAGGATGTGGAGAAACTGGGACGCTTTGCTGATGGTGGTGGGAATGTCAAATGGCGCAGCTGCTCTAAAACTACTACATTACTTCCTCCAGAGGTGAAAGAGCTACCGTAAGACGAGAGCAGGGACTTGTCCACCAGTGCGTGTGGCAGCACTGTTTACCATTAGCAAAGTGGCAGATGCTTACACTCTCGCTCTCACTGCATCAAATCAGTTCCAACCCAGCGGCCCTACAGGACAGGATAGAAGTGCCCCTGAGGGTTTCCAGGATTGTATTTCCCCCAATGCTTGCAGTGGTATATTCCTCAGCAATAAAGGGCAATGAAGGTGTGGTGTACGTTTTGCAGACCTGGATGAACCTTGAAAACATACCAAGTGAAACAAGCCTGATACAATACAAAAAGGACAGGTACCACATGATCCCATTTTATGAGCTATCTAGAATAGGCAGGAGGGCCTTGGGTGGCGAGTGGTTAAATTCTCGACTTCGAGCTGAAGAGTCACTGTTTGAACCCCTCCGTGCTATGTAGGCAAAGGTGTGGTGGTCTGCTTCGGTAGACATGATGGCTTTGGAAACCCGACAGGGCAGCCCTCTTCTCCTGTGTAGAGACTCGAGGAATTGGAATTGACTATATGCCAACATGTGGGGTTTGGGGGGAGGGGGTGTTTAGAAGAGGCAGATGCATAAAGACAGGAACCGATGCATAAAGACAGGAACTGCATAAAGCAGTTCCGAAGGACTGAGTGGCAAGGAGACTGTAGCGTTAAAAAGAGCAGTACCTCAGTGAAGTGGACTATAAAGTAAAATCACTTTGGTCGTCTCCAGGGTCTTGCTGTGGAGATACACTTCAATCCCGACCTCGGTGGAAGAGTCGGGGAAAAAAGAGAAGGGAAAGAACATCTCCCTGCTGTGCCTGGAGGGCTTGCAGAAGATCCTGGATGCCGTGCAGCAGTTCTACCACCCCCGGATCGGGCACTTTCTCAGGGCTCTGGGTAGGGACTGGGATACCCTCAGGTGGGCTTCAATCCGGCTTTCTCCTTCCTTAACAGAGAGGCCTGAGAAGGAGTGACATCTAGTGGATTCAGAGTCAGTCCTCATTGGATGACGTGCAGCCACCGATGGAGGCTGGAAACTGGCCCCTCCTGTTAAGAAAGTAGAGATACAGATGTATTTAAATCTGCCTCCAAGGCAGCGGCTCTCTAGCATGTTAACTATTAGGAGGTCAAAGACAGCATGAGCTCATTTTAAAAAAGTTGTCATTTCCTTCCCCAGATGTCACAGAGAATAGTGGAGAAGAGGCAGAAGTTAGTGTCACTCAGAGAGCAACCTTCCAGATCCGGCAGTTCCAGGTGAGACACCATGGGACAAGGCCATCATCCTTGCCTGCGGCTCCTTGCCAACATGGCTGTCTTCAGAGACAGCTGGGGAGAGCAGGCAGACAGTAGGACAGGAATCCCTTTCCGGGTCATCGCCCAAGCAACAGGACGCCGCTCTTAGAATAGAAAGCTAGGTGTTTAGGAGGATTTGGGCTCAGTTACCCAGCCAGCTGGACACGCTACCTCCAACCATGGTGGCTTTTGGTTTTGCCTGTCACAAATTGTTTCCAAAACAGCAGCGTATTATATCACAGAGAATATCCTTGACTTTATCATTCCTAAGATGTGCCTGAAGATTTAGCAGGGAAAGGAGCAAACACAGACAGATAAGACAATGTGATGAGAAGAGGCGTGGAGGAGGTACAACAGGGAAGATGTGTAGGGAATGCTGGGGGCCCAGGGGGCGTCTATACCTGGGGGGTGAGTGCCAGGGTCCCAGAGAGCTGTGAGTCACCAGATACTGGGCGCATGGTTTTTTCCTAATGAATGCGTTTGGCCGAGGAGGTTGGAGGAAGAAGAGTCCATCGTTCTTTCAAGAGAATGCTCAGAGAGCTTTCTGGTTGAAAGTGGGTTAAGAAACTACTGATCAATCCAGATGCATTTTTAAGTTTTCTCCTCTTAAAATTGGTCAGCTCTCTGTTCTTCCACGCCTGTCTTGGGAATCTCTTCCTCCGGAGCAGAATGTCTGCTGATGCTTCTGCGTGTGCTTTTCCTTCCACAGAGGGCTCTGTTGAATTTACTTACCTGCCCAGAAGAAGACTTCAATAGCAAAGAGGCCCTCCTCCTGATCAGTGTTCTCTTCAACCTGTCCAAGCTCCTGGAGCCCTCCTCCCCACAGGTCAGCACCACTCACTCAGTCAGCCCCATTTAGCATTCCAAAGAAAAAGCAAGGCTTCCTGCATCTTAAAGGTATTCATCTAAAGGTCATCTTGAAGTGCAACTTACCGCATATACTTGAGTATAAGCCAACCCGAATATCAGCCCAGGCACCTAATTTTACCACAAACACTGCATTAAAAATGTGCTGAAAAACTCGGCTTATACACGAGCATATACAGTACTTAAAATAATATACTTCATTGTTCTCCTGAGTTACTAGAAGACCTATGAGACGTATTCTTTCCTACATAGGCTTTCTATCGTGTCATACTTAAAACGATCAGCCATCCTAGGGCAAAAACATACTGCTGCTTTTTGGCCAGCCTTAAATTGATCTTTGCTGCCATCAGCCTAGTTCTTCTTGGCTCTTCCCCACCCTTGCTGCTTCCCTGCCTTCCCAAGGGAACGTGTAGCACCTTTGTGATGAAGAAAGCAGCTGACACATGCAGCCCTTGGCTCCCTCTGCAAGGTTACCAGGTGCTGAGATGCAGGGCAGCGGCTCCACAGAGAAAGATGAAATTGCCCAGGGTACGACAGGCTGAAAGAAGTGGCATGTGCAGGGGTACACACATACCTGTAAACTTGGCACACAAGCGTTTGTTCATGCTCCACACACTCGAAGAACGAGAGCCAGGCCACAGTCTGTGGCTCTGTGGCATTCGAGAGCAGTCTGCTGTGGAATGATCGGTGCATTCCTGAGAGCCCAGAACTCTGGGCTCCTGCAGCCCCTCCCTCCAGATTCACGGGGAAGACAGGCTGCTTCTGGTACCGAGTGCATCATGACAAGATGCGCTAGTCCCTGTTGTCCCAGCCCCAGGATGCCCAGAGAAATCCCCACTGTTGCTCATTTTACCGCAGCTCCCAACAGTGTGTCCCCCTTGCTGTCTGCTTTGTCCTTTCATCCTACTGCTGGGCTGCAAGGAAGAAACGGGAACTGCTGCAGGGGTTGTTTGGAGGAAAGGAAATGGATTTAGAAAGGCTGATCCTGGAGAGCCAAAACGCTCGTTTTTAAGGCTCCCTTCCCCGTCCCACCCCCAATAACTTCAGAGTCTCTTTAAAAATTTTTACTTCATTCTTCAATGTTAATGGGTAATAAGGCATAGGGTTTGAAAAACAGAAATTATAAAAAGGTGTATAGTAAATATCCTCTATCTCCTCTGTTTCTCCTCCGCAAATAAGTAATCTTTTTAGTTTCTTCCATATCCTTCCATGTAGTATTAAATTAAAATGGCGAGGAGGTGGGAGAGTGGGTGGGGGGCCAGCCCCCACCGTTAGTCGCGGGTTCAGTAATACTACTTCTGGGTTCAGTAATGCACAATTGTACGGTTGAGTTATATAAGTATCATATTAAAGTCATCGAGAGCATGAGAGATATTACAATAATACAGTTGGACACATTACATGGTAGCATTGCTCACCTCAGCCCAGCTTGGTGGTCCATGTGGAGAGAGGGGGAAGGGAAGGAGGGCAAGGGTACAAGAGAAAGGACGGGAGAGGAGAAGGGGAAGAGAGGGGAGTGACCAGGGAGTGAGCAGCAAGGAGAGATCAGAGTCAGAGAGAGCTCTCTCTTGCTGACCTACGCCTATATTCCTTTTGGGGGCATGCCAGCCCACTAATTACAGGGAGAGACATAAGTCACAGGGAGGGGCTGCACTATAGGTTACACAGCAATGAGAAGGTGGTCTCTGGGTCTCCATAAGAACCATTATCAGTAGGGTTAAAACTCCTCCTACAGGAGCCTGTCCATTGTCCCCAGAGGCAGGGAGCAGGCCCACCCCTGTGGTGGGATGAGACAGCAGTCTGGCCTTCAGGGGAGGGAAAGCCTGCGCATCTGACCTCCCCCCACACTTCCAGAGTTCCTTTATTCCTATACAAGCAAATCTGACAGTCTTCTCCTGCCTGCTGCTCGGCACAGACAAGACCATTGTCCTGCAGCTTGCGTAGTTCATATTACAGTGTCCTGGAGATCTGTTAGATCACTTCCCAGAGAGCTGTGAGCTAGCCTCTTAATTTACCTTTTTTCCAACACATCAAAAATGAATTTCATTTATCATTTTGCACATACATGTAACTGCATCCCAGTGCCTATATATATATAGCTGAAAGCCAATCCCAAAGAAGTGCCGAGACAGGAAGCAGACTGCCTGGAAATTGAGTCTTATTTTTGCCTCTTTAATGTCTCAGTTCCCCTCTCTGTTGGCCTCTGGGCTTCCATAGGCAACTCTCTCCTCTCTATAGGCAAGACCTTGCCTTGCTCTGCACCACGGGCCTCAGATGGGTGAGGGTGTGGGGGAAGGGGGAGAGCGCTGAGCCCCAGCCAGAGGCGGGTGGTGGGGGTGGAATGGAGGACATGTAGGTGGCAAAGACCCTGGTCTCGGGGCCTTAGCCCTGACTTGAGGCCGCAGAGGTGAGAAGGGAAGCAGGTGCTGTGGAAAACGCTGTCTGTTCACGCTGGGGATCCAGGGCCAGGTTTGGGCAGGTGCTTCTCTTAGATTTGGAAAGGGACGGTGCTTCTATTCCGGCGATGTGTTTCTTTAATATCCATATGATCTTCAATTCAGTTTTCACAGATGTTATCCTGGACGTCTAAGATTTGCAAAGAAAACAGCCTGGGTAAGTGAGGTTGGTTTCCACCTTGTTTCCCACATGACAGCACTTAGAAAAGGAAAGCTCGTCCCGTTTCCCATTTGCCAGGATGACCAGAGAACGAAGATGCACAATACCAGATCCAAGTGCAGGCAAGGGGAGCTGTGGGAGCCCACGCTCCCTGCAGGGGGAGCTGGGAAGTGGCTTGACCACTCTGGAAAGCTGCAACAAGATCAAGTAGCAATTGTACTCCCAATAGAAAACATGGAAGAATTCTCATAGCAGCACCACTTTAAAAGAAACCCCACCTTGTCCGTCAGCAATAGAAGTGATGTGTCCCCAGCTGGAGCACCAGCACCGTGCAGCAGTGGGAATATACAACATGGAGACATCGGGGTGGCAGTGTGCCTTGAGGGGGACAAGGGGCTTTCAGGTGCTGGGAGTATTTGATGTTTTCATCTGGATGATGGTGGCTGACTCATCACGAGAAATGCCTACTTTCCTCAGGTTGTCACGTGCATAAAGGTCCCTATTGCAGGAGTTTGTGTAACACTGGGATGTGGCAAGCTGTGTTAGCACCCCATCCATCTCCCACAAAAGGGCCTGGGTGTGCTATAACCTAGCTTTTCACTGTCTCTCCTTCCTGCTCCTAGAGGATGCCTCCGTGTGTAAAGGCCTGCTACATTTGCACTTCAGCCTCCATGTTTTGTACAAGAGCCCTGTCTCCCTGCTGCGTGACTTGTCCCAGGATATCCACGGGCAGCTGGGAGACATAGACCAGGTACTGCAGGCAGCCTAGGCTAGGCATACTGAAACCTGGGGCTGGGGCTCAGGGAAGCAGCCTTCCTGCCCTCAGGGCTCACCTCTCTCTCCCGGCCCAGGACGTAGAGGTGGAGAAAACAAACCACTTTGCACTGGTGACTCTGAAGACAGCTGCTCCCACTGTCTGTGTAAGTGTTGATCCGGAGCCAGGGGGTGGCCGAGCCATTCCTTACATTCTGCGCCCTGTGACGAGGAAACCCCTGATCGCCATGGCTGTGTCACCCCGCAGCTGTGTGCAGGGAGCCAAGCCAGGCGTTCTTTTACTTCACAGTTGCTGGTTCTGAGTCAGGCTGAGAAGGTCCTGGAAGAAGTAGACTGGCTGATCACCAAGCTTAAGGGACAAGTGAGCCAAGAAATCCTTTCAGGTAGGAGGGTTCAGGATGGGCTTCCAAGAAATGCGATGGCAGCAAAGACCCCCTCGGTCCACAATGGACTGCTCTACCAAAGGCGAGCCCTGAGCTGCAATCGCAGGGGTGGCTGAGAGAATGGAGGCTCACGAAGCTTCGAGCCGCAGCCACCACAGGATGGATTACATCCTCGCTTTCCCCACAGAGTCCCCAGTTAATGATTTTCAATTTCTTTTGCTCTTAACTGGAAAATAAGGCCAATTGAGCTTGAGTGGGCCAATTTTGTTTCCCTTCAGAAGAAGCCTCTTCACAGGCAGTCCCAGGAAATCACCCCCTCGAGAAAGCCATCATCATTCAACTGGGCACTCTGCTGACGTTCTTCCACGAGCTGGTGCAGACGGCCCTGCCAGCAGGCAGCTGTGTGGACGCCTTGCTAAAGGACTTGTGCAAAATGTACACCATTCTTACAGCACTGGTCAAATATGTGAGTATCTGAGCTGGTCAGGCCCACCACCACCGCCATTCCATGCCAGCCAAGACAGGGCCCATGGGGCTGCATTGCCCTGGAACCAGTCATGGCTTGATTCTGATTTGTCACTAAGTGGCAGGCTCTTCACAGGCCAGAGAGGAGCAGTTGATGGCATAGTTAGTTCTGAAACTGCTTCTACACGCCCTTGTTTCCCTGAGCATTTGATTAAGAGTGAATGCATCTTTCACACACTATCATGATAACTGAACTCTGATTCCGTATGATCCCCAAAAGCACACTATTCCAACCACTGTCAGCACTGAAGAGCTGTGAGGTCCCTCTTCCGTTCCGTTAAGGAAACGAGTTGCCGCCAAGGCAGTTCTGACTCAGGCAGCCGGGGTGTGCGTGTTGAACTGCCCTCTACGGGGGTTTCAGTCATGGTTTTGGAAAGAAATCACCAGGTCTTTCTGCCAAGGAGACTAGAGGGTGAACTAGAAGTCCACCTTTCTGTTTGCCTCCTAGCGTGTGAACTGGTTTGCCCCACCAGGGGCAATCTGTAACATGCCAGATCTAGCCCTAGAGTAGAGAGCGAGATGATTATGCTAAAAATACAAGGCACACTTTTTGCCTTGTTGAGCTTAAGTGAATGCTTCTTAGTATTTCTTGACAAGGAATTCTTTTCTTGCACTTAGAATGCTTTGGACCCCAGCAGACTTTCCGAGAGTCTTGGGAAGAACCGGGAAGTAGAGTTCTGAGTCTAGCAATGACCCATATTACAGACTTAGAAAGGGATGACTGACCGAAGCAAGACACCGGCCTTCACGGTGAACCCTAACAGCACCTTCACCCGCTGATGCAGCTCCAGCTGAAACTTCCATAGTCAAATGCAGAGCACCCTCCTCTTCATGGGCATTTCTGAAAGGGAAATGGCTGAGTCATTAGTTTTTGTAGACGCAGGGACTATGGCGAGCTGGAAGGAGTCTTTTTTTTTTTTTTGGAAGGAGTCTTAAAGCAATGAGCTAAACCAGTCCGAAACAGGCCCTCCAGCCCCTTGTTGTCTGGGGGAGGACCGGAGGAGGGTGCAGCCTTGGGCCTGGGAGTCTCTCTGCTGTGGTCGCTTGCTTGCGTCTCCACAGGCCATAAGCTCCCGGAAAGAGTTGGCTGTAGTTTCCCAGGACATAGATATAGGGTGCTATACTGACCTATGAATCTTTTGTCTGTTAGCATCTCCAGGTGTGTGGGAGCTCCAGGGGAATTCCCAAAAACATGGAAAAGCTGGTGAGTGGAGAGCACCTGCCCTAGGTCGGGCAAGGGCTGGTGTGGTGGGGTTCTTGCAGTAACCTTGGCATCCTCCCCATGTGCTGCAGGTGAAGCTGTCTGGGTCCCATCTGACCCCACTGTGCTACTCGTTTATTTCCTACGTGCAGGTGAGCGATCCCCATTCAACACCAAAAATAGCCCTCCAAGCAAGAAAGGACTTCTGCCTCGCAGGCGGTTGCTTGGCCATCTGAGCTGAGTATGCAGCAAGCCTCCTCAACCAAAGCCCAGAGGAGATGCAGTTAATGCCTGGTCCCTGCAGAGATGTCACTGCCGAGAGAAAGCCCTCGGTGTGCTTGCATTGAGAGTAGGAAAAGAGCAACATGCTGGGGCTCAACGACTTGGTTTAGTTCTGGGTGGTTCCCCCTGCAACCAAGGGGCCTCCTTTGGGAGTGGACGGACAGTGGCGAGCTTGGGAAGAAAGGCCGAGAGCTGATGGCAAAATGCATGTAACAGCACAGCACTCCCAGCCAGGCAGAGGCAGTCGGGGCTTCTTCTGCCATCTGCCCAGAACTCTTCCCCTCTGCCTTTCAGTGAATATCCTAACAGGGTCTGAAGAAATTTTAAATGTCCTTTGATCACAATTGCCATCAAATTCTTGAGATGCTTTAGCCTTCTTTACTCTTTGTGAGACCAGAATTTCTAAACGTCAGCACTGTTGGCATGTGGGACCAGGTCATCGGATTGGGGGCTTGACCTGGATATTGTAGGGTATTTGCATCATCCCAGATACCAGTAGCCACTCCCCAGCTGTGATGACCAAAACTGCCTCCAGGCGTTCCTAAAGGTCCCCGAGGGGCAAAACCACCCATTATTGAGAACCACGGGCTTAACCACATGAAGCCCTGGGAAACCACCGATCTTCAAAGGCCACTTAGTTACCGGGGCAGGCGGTTTACAGAGCTGTTACTTGATTTCTGAAGAATCAACGAGAAAGGCCCCGCCAAGGATCAGTCCTGGCCAAGAACCCAGAGCCAGGAGTACAGCAATGTGTTGGGACCACACCAGTGATGATGCTACACTTGCTCTATCCTCGTTGCTACCTTCCTCATTCTCCCCTTGAGAATCAGCGACCAGGTGGCCTGTCATCTGGTGGTAGCTGGAGGCTCTCAGTAATGGGCCGGTAGTTGAAGGTCTTCCTGGCCCGTTGTAGCAGCTTTGCAATCGGGTTAAGGATGTATCTCTGTACTCTGTGTCAGGCTATTACGGTCAGGCCTCTTCTTTTCACCCACCCAGATGCTCGCAGGCACGCGTTCTCGGCCCTTGAGCTCACGAGTGTCATGTGGGGGCCACGCTGTCCGTGCACAGTTTGCCCGCTCTCTATCAGTTTGGGGTTTGAGTTCCATGATCTCCAAGGCTTCCAGTCTCTAAGGCCACATGTCATAAAGTATCCTTTGTAGACAGATACACCAAAACCAAACCAAACACACTGCCAGCAAGCCCATGCCAACTGACAGCCACCCTGTAGGGCAGGGTGCGACCGCCCAGTGAGTTTCTGAGCCTGTGACTCTACGGGAGTAGAGAGCCTCGTCGTCCTCTCGCAGAACAGCTGGTGGTTTCGAACTGCCGCTTGCCTTGCAGTTAGCTGCTCCCAACCCCATTCCCAGGCCTTCTGTGACGCACCAGGCACCTCCAAGACAGGTCTGTTTTCCACAGGTGCTTCCTCTTCACAGGAGCCAGTCACGTGCTTTCCTTAGACCTTCTTCCTCTTCTTCACCTCTGTTTGACTTAAGAACCTATTGGCAAGTCCACCGATCTCAGGCAAACGGTTTCTCTCTACCAGATGTGCCTGATGACCCAGCAGCCCAGAGTCCTGAGCTCCAGGTCCTCCCTAGAAATCACAGCTGCTTCCCCTCTGATTTCCTGCAGCCTGGCTTTTTAATGAGAAGCATCGACAGAAACACTAGCATTGCATCCAAACCCAATTCTGCCCCCACACTGCATGGCCTTGAGATAAGGTGACCAGATTTTAACATTGGTAAACAGGACACCATTGATAAAACGCATATCCTGGCGAAATAGCCACGTGGCAGCCGAGGACCATATACCCTAGCTTGTGCATTCTTTCCAAAAATCGGGACTTTTTAAAAACGCCGTGGGACGTGGGAAAAATTGTTCAAAAGTGGGACATCTGGTCACCTTACCTTAAGAGACAGTTCTCTTTGTTAGCGTTGTGTTTGTAGGCCTACCTGTAACGGTTGGTGACAGGCAGTAGAGGGGTTGATTTAGGGGTGCACTGATTTGAGGGAGACGTCCACACTCCCTACTTATCCCTGCGTGCCCACTCTACAGCTGCTGCCAGCCCCTCTCACGGCAAGGCTTCACACTCTTACCACCCTGATCCTGCCTTCTGGGGCCAAGAACACATTCCTTCATACCATGCCCTCTTGACCCCCCTCTCCCTCCCTGTCCTCCCGTTTCTCTCCAGTGTCAGTTCCTGCCTTTCCTTCCAGCGCTCCCATGGGGCACTCACTGTGTTCCGTTCCCAGAAGGCGCGGCTCTGACTCCAGGCAAAAGCACTGTCCTCTGGGAGGACGTTCTCAGTCTCTGCTGACTGCCCGGTCAGCTGTAGCACTGGCAAGTGTTCCTCAGCCCATTGTAAGTCCTTCTCCGACAGGTTAACCAAACTGCACAGCTGGGGATTGCCTGTTGACCCCTCAGACAGCCAACTCAGCTTCCTCTTCCTAATGGAGACCTTTTGGCCAGCTTCCCAACTTAGAAATGCCATTTTCTCGTTGCTTCCCGTTTTCACCATCCGTAGGACCTCAGTGGTCACTGGGCTAGCCTAGTTGATTCTGCTCTCGCTGTGGGTTTCCCACTGGGCTGCTGACCACAAGCTCTGCGCCTTGACACCACCAGGTGCTCCTCAGCCAGCAGGTGAGGCCCCACTCCTGTCAAGAGTCACAGCCTTGGCGACAGGGAAGTCCTCTGTCCAGCAGGTGGCAGGGAGTACACATTGGAAACCTCCCAAGAACAGAAAGGCAGGACAGTACCTCAAGATTCTGGAGCAGCACCACCCTTTTGCTCCACCTGCCAGCACTTGCTGCGCAGATGAGCCTGTCCATCCAAACGTGCACCCCCTAGAACTCCCGTTCTCAGTTGCAATTATCTTTGAAGGAAATTCCCACTCGCCTGTGGCTTTGTGGGAAAATCTTTGGGAATGACTGAGTTTGTGTGTCTTTAGAATAAGAAGAGTAAGAGCCTGAAGCCTGCAGGAGAGAAGAAAAAGGAGAAGGCTGCTGCTGTTGCCACAGCCATGGTAAGACGCTGACACCAGGCGGAGAAGGCAGGCTGCTGGTGACCCTGGACCACGTTATGCTAAGTGAAAGGATCCAGCCCCCAGTGACTGTATGATTCTACTGACATGCAGTGTCTACCGAGGCAGGCCTAAGGACAGGATTAATGGTTGCCTAGAGCTTGTGGGATGGCGCCTTGGTTGCATAGTGTTTTTATGCATTGGGTTGCTAACGAGGTCAGAAGTCAAAGCCACCAGCCACTCTGCAGGAGAAAGATGAGGCTTTCTGCTGCCAGTAAGTTAGTGTAGGACACCACAGCAGTAGTTCTGCTCTGTCCTAGATGCTCATCGTGGGTGAGCAGTGGGTTTTGAGAGCTGGTAGGGAGGTTGGAGGATGCTTACTAAAAGATACAGGATTCCTTATAGGGGTGACGAAAATGCTCTACAATTACAGGGACAGCTGCAGTATCAATAACATGGAAATGAGTGAATTGTAGGACAGATTAATTACAGCTCAAAAAAGCCATCCATGCCAGACATACAAGGGGGCTTCAAATTTTGAGGGAAAATGGAATTAAAAGATAATGGAATTTTTACAGGAATTTTTCAAGCACGTTGGGGTGGGGGTGGGGGGTTTGGGGGCTGCATTTCAACTCGGTTTTTATATTCAGATGGAACGTTTTCATTTCCTCTGAACTAGAAAGCATATTTTACCCAGGAAGCACCAGAAAATCCCTCGCGCTTTCTTGTAAGGGAAGATTTATGTACAGGGAAAGCTGGTGAGCACAACTGAGTGTTCTCTAAACAGTGTTCGCGTTGGGGGAGGCGGGGTGTATTAGTCTGGGTACTTTGGAGAAACAAATCCACAGCGACTCATGTATAAGAGAGAGTTTTATGTAAAGAAAATGTGCATCACGAAAACATCCCAACCCAATGCTGCCCAAGCCCACAAGTCCAACATTAACCCATACCCAACACCAGTCCACAAAGTCCTTCACCTCACAAAACAGAGGCAATAATGCCGACTGCAGGAGGAAAGCTGAGTCAGTGAACGTGTACTGTACGCATCTCAGCACTGGCAGGGGTCTCCACACGGCTGCTCCAGCACCCAGGGCTGCATCGGGATAGATCCATGCGGCTTCTCCTTGGGGATGTCTTGTAGGAAATCCATCTTGCAAGCTGAAGCAGGGAACTGCTAAGGCAGCTGCACCCGATGAAACCATCACAAAACAAGAGACCTGAGAACTAGAAAGGCGAGGCTTCACCACCCATTTATCCCTCCGCCTTTCAACCAGCACCACATGTGATTATCGGCCAGGCTGGCACAATTAACTAACTCACGGGGAAACCAGCACGCTCTGCGTGGTTCCTGAAACCACACTTGCCGCCATCAGGTCGGATCAGTTCAACCACCACCAGGAGGGCGGAGCAGAGCTGCCTTTCCGAGATGGTAGCTCTTTACGGAAGGCGGCCTTTCTCCTCGAGGAGTGGCTTAGCAAGGTGAAAGCTAGTACAGTGTCTCCACAGGGCCCCTTGTCCATAGCGATGGGACCTGTGGATCCTCTTGATGCAGCAATCCCAATTTTAGGGTACAGCGATTGTGTAAAGACAATCGTTTGTACAAGTTAAATACTGAAAAATAAGTGCATGCGCACTATAGAACACTAGGCAGGCGTGAAAACTGATGCAAAGTGAAATGTTTCGTTAGGATATTGGGGATGGTGGTGAAAACTTCAGTGTCCCCACTTGGGAGTTTTCTAAAATACATAAACATGCTTTGCATGAGCAATGTTTGCAAGGATGTAGAAGGTGTGCTTAGCCACCTGAGTTCACGTGCAGACAGACAGGAAATGGAACGAGTTGACCCTCACCCAGTCTCTAAACAAAAAAGCCTGGGGATTGTGGATGAAGGTTCAGCCTGAGCGCTTCTGGAATCCAGGCCCCGAGATGGAACTGCCAAACATTTATATCACTGACAGGCAACTTTGCTGCCTGTGGACCCCACAGACCGAGCCCCATAGGGTTTCCTAGGCTGTGGTCCACTGGGTCATGCCCTCATGGAGCCAGCCGTTGGGTGGGTTTGAACCACCAACTTCGGTTTGCAGCACAGCACTACCACGCCTCCCTGAATGCTAGATTACTGACCTATAAGTGAAGGTGCATTTGTTTAGACCAGTGTCTTCCTGCCCACCCACCATGAAGCACCAACACCTCGTCATTCTGCTAGCGACAATTCCAGAGGGTTCCAGACCTTGAAAGCCCCCTTGCCGTGAGATTGAGGTGCAATTTTCTTTTGTCCTGTAGGCCAAAGTCCTCCGAGAGATGAAGCCGATTCCCAACCTCATCTTTGCCATTGAACAGTATGAAAAATTTCTCATTCACCTGTCTAAGAAATCCAAGGTAAGCTGTTTTCTATCGTGTTGACCTTGTTGAGAGACCCTGACACTGAAGCAATCCTCCAGGGGAGGGGGGGTCGGATATCAAACACTGAAACTTTCTATTCCTCTGCTCTCTGGTCTGGTGGCTTGAGTCCAAGCACATGGGAGAGCAGATCAAGTCTGTGTGTGTGGTTCCTGGAGGAGGAATTGAAGGTCTGTGCAGTAGACCTGGGCAGGAATAGGAACCGGCAGTAGGAGAGGATCCTCACCACCCCAATCCTGTCACAGGTCAACCTGATGCAGCACATGAAGCTCAGCACTTCCCGGGACTTCAAGATCAAAGGGCACATCCTGGACACGGTGCTTCAGGACCAGGAGGAGGAGGAGGGAATCGAAGAGGTAGGTCAATGCCTGCCTCTGCCGGAAGAGCAGCAGGCGCCAGCACCCTTCCAAAGGCATGGTGCGCGGGCTAGCCAGGAGCAGCCGCCGACAAGCAAAAGGGCAAGAGTCAGTAGCAAGAGGCTTAGAAAGTCCTAGGCAGAGGCAAAGCCGGAGGACGGGGAGAAGGCCTGTGAACTGCTGAGCCCTGTGTACACAGTGCCCACACCTGTGTGCACTTCTGGTAGCCATTTCCAGGGTCAGGACCGTGGCAGACCAGACCTTTCTGTGGGGGCTCCTTCCTGTGAATTTTTGAATCTTTGGCACATCTAGCCACTGCACTCTGAAACCCATCTTGTCTGCCTCACAGTGGGGCAGGCCCCTAGTTGGTAAGCTCAGGTAAGGCTTCCTAACATTCATGTTCCCATGTGTAGTTCCTCTCCCTGTAGTTCTCCCTGCTCCCATCTCACACACCGTCCTTGTAGCATCTTTAGAACAGAGCTTTGTCTGAATAGTACCAGTGGATTGGTGACCCACGCATATTTCAAAATGGGATATTTACATAAAACCCCCAAGGTCTGCCTCAAAATAACTGAACATACATTCTCCCAGTCAGGCCGCTCCAGGCCCGTCTTCCTCCTGGTCTGCCGAGCTCGGGGCCTGTGTGCCGCCATGGGAGTGGGGTAAGCAGGCCCCGCCCTCCCTCAGCAGTCTCCTCTTCCCATGAGCGGGGCGAGAGAAAGCAGCACAGGCACAGGCTCCTATGAGAAGGTAAAGGGGTTTTGTTTTATTATTTCCACCGGAAGCTTCTCACATTAGCACATCGCTGCTGTCCCCTCCCCAGGGCTCCGAATCAGAGCACGGGGGGCAGAAGGAAGAACCAGCCCGGAAGAAAAGGAAGAAAGAAACAAAGTGCCTGAGTTAAAGAGTCTTCTGGGGTGTCTGTGCTCTTCCTGCCCAATAGGCAACAGTGCCCCTTGTCCTGCAACCTGCACCAGTTCTGGCTTTTGGTTCCGAACCCATTGAGCTCCACTGCACCGTCAGTCGATCCTCCTTGGCAGGTCCTGCTACTAAAACGCTGGCCTGAGGCAAGCCGCCTCTGTCCCACAAGCACAGCTGAAAAGCCTGAGTTCCACGGGAGCAACGCCGAGCCTCCGGCAGCCATGTGCAGGCTGCCTTCACCTGCCCAGGGAGCCTTTGGTGCGTTCAATTATCTGGTAGATGTCCAGTGCTTCACCTGAAATGACAGTGCACTGGTTAGGACGGGGCTGAGAGCAAGTGCCAGCAGCATCACGCCGGCGCTCAGGAGGACACTTTCCTTACTCGCTTGGCACTAAAAACTGTTCCTTTCTACCTAAGAATGCACTTTGATTTTGCACAATAAATTCTCTCCAAACAACCCTGGTGTGGCTGGCAAGGGGACGGGTGTAGGAGAGTGCTGGACACTCTGGGGTCTTCGTTTCCTGGGCGCAGCTTTCGAGAAACAAGCATCCATCCCTCTGGTTTGAACAGCATGCGCATGTGGGGGCCAGGACGCCTTATGAGCTGTAAAGGGCTAGAACACAGCCCCTGTAGGGAGGGCTTGTTTCCCTGGGGACCAAGGTCCAATTCCAGTCCACCTTCTGTTCTACACCCAACAAAGAAGAGAGGCACCATGCTCACCCTGGGGGATCCCGTATCTCTGTTCCATTCCTGTGGGGTTGGAAGGGGTTTTACAATCCATGGTCACTTCTTTCCTGAGGCACTGGTCGATATCGACTGTACTGAAAAAGGCCACTGACTGGGGCAGGTCGTTCAGCCCCAGCTTGTAGGCAAACATGCACCTGAAAGAGACCCAAGCTCCTCTCACAGGCATGCCCCTGCTCCGGGCAGAGCTTCATCCCACCAGGAGACATGACCACGTGGCCCTGAGGGACCCGGCGCCTCCCACCCAGAGACAGAAACGCAGTTACAGACCACACACACACACACACACACAGTTTGGTTCATTTTGATGTAAAAAAATGCCTTCCAATTACTGGGCCACTGCTTGACATTAGGATTTCTTGTTAGCTCGGGTCAGTGTCACCCCCGAAAGTGATTCGGGGGGCTGTGAAAGGTGCTGTCACTTCTCTCGGAAAGGCTGGAGCCAGGTTCCCACACGGGTTCTAAGTAGCAGTGCCACACGTAAGTGGCCTATCATGTGATTGAACCGTTAAGGACTAGAAGTAGTACTGGAGAAAACAGTCTAGAAGACAGAAACCTCCTCAGATCGCATCCGTCTGCTGCTCCCAGGGCTTTCTGTCTGTCCAAGTAACCGTTTGATGGAAGAGAGGCTCTGCAGCCTCACTGCATGGGGAGAGCCTGTGTCACTTGCTTTCAGAGCGGGAAGGGGGTTCCCTTTGAAAGGAGCACAGCCGGAAACCACTCCGAACAAGCCCTGGCCGGGGACCAAGTCTTAGCAAATGTTCCTTTCAAACCCAAGAAACCTTTTCAAAGTCCCGGTTTGGTTGGAACTTGACAAAAGTTTCATTTCTAACCGAGAGATTAACAAGTGGAAATGTGAGCACAGCAGGGCTGCTCAGGCGAGCCCTACTGCAGCCGCCGCCAAGCATACCTGGTCAGCAGGTTGGTGATCTGCAGGGCCAGGGCAGCACGGTAGCGGTCCTCCTCCCGCACCAGGTAGCGGACCTCATCGTGGATGCTGATGCAGAACCGCCCGTCAATGGCAAACTCCTCCAACAGCCACTTCATGGCCACCAGCATGAGGTGTAGGTAGTCCACCGCGGAGCTCTGCACCACCCAGTTCACGCGGCTGGTCATAAACTGGAGAAGGAGGACAGGAGGGGGCTGTCATCCACCAGTGAGCTCTCCAGGAGAGGAAGGGACATGCCTGCAGGAAAATCCTGCTCTGCCTGCCGCCCAGCCCGTGGTGATGTCCAGGGAGCCCCGCCCTCCCCGTGCCCCAGAGCAGCTGGTACCTCCCCCCGGACAGCAGAGGGCTCCAGGGCTCGGCTGACGCGGCAGCCCAGCACTGGGGTGCTGGGCGCGTCAGACGTGGCGATGCTCTCCAGCTTATTGAACATCTCCGACTCGGTGCCCCCCATCCATGCCCGCTCAGCAACCACCTCCCACTTCTTCCAACGCGACCTGGGAGACAGGAATAAACAATGGGGACCGCTTGCGTCTTTCGGCATCTCAGCCCCACCCTCTGGGCCAGCCGCCACCCCACCCTGACAAGGCTCTCACTTCCGTAAAGCTTCTCTCTTGATCTTACGTAGATCCTCCAGGGAAACCCAGCCATCCTCAGTCCTGTCCACGGGGAGGTCCAGCTCCTTCACCAGCCACTCACCCTCCTCTGACAGCCGATACCTGGGGGCAGTATCACCCCATCATTCGCTCCCCAGCGTGAGCCTTGTGCGAAGCCCCGGGCAGGAAGCCCTCACCCCTCCCTGCAGCAATGCAGCACGCTGGCCCCAGCCTGCACCCACTGGGCTCTGCTGCGGAGGAGGGCAGGAGGACTCCGTGGGGTCATGCAGCTAAGAAGAGTCACACCCGGACAGGAACCCAGGCCTTTCTGACCCCAAGTCCAGGCTACACCGTGACGGCTGATTAGGATAGGTGTGTCCAAGAATGGCCCTTTCTCTCCCGGCCCACTCTAGCCTAGTAGTCTCAGTCCAGCCTGCAGACTGGCACCAGGTTCTGCCTCAGTACTCCAGCCCCTAGGCACAAACCCCTCCAGTGTACCAGCACCCCACTGCCAGCCCCACCAGTCCGGACTGCACTGTGAGCTCTGCAGAGTCGACAACTAGGGCCCTGTCCTCTGCCCATCTGCCCATCACCCCGCCACCCTTGGCTGATGAGCTCATAGTCTCCCGAGGCCCATTTCCAGGGAGAGTAAACGAAATGTGGCCTCTGCTCACATTACCTAAGGGCCCCTCCTAAGGCCTGCTACTGCCCAAACACAGACCACAGGCCTGGGACACTGCTCCGAGGCCCAAACCAGTTCACAAGCCACTGCCCTGCGAGGGTTCCTGCATCCCTGTTTAGGCCAGGCCTTCCAAACGGGTTAGTCACGGGCAATGTGGAAAAGCAGGGCAGGCCTCACTGTGAAGGGTGGGTGTGCCAGAATGAAAACCAAACGGGAAAATTACGAGTGAAAGCCCGGGTCAGGGACGCAGCAGTCTCTTCAGGAGCCTGCCCGTTGCCAAGCCTGAAGAGAATGACGCACATCTTTGGGCAGGGCACGGCTTTTGAACGCAATGGCGAAGAGATCTGTTAGCTATGCCACACTCACACTGCCCTGTTTCCTAAGAGGGAGGGTAAGTTTCTAACAGACAGGTTTTTCACCTCATTCTGGGGGTCACTCTGGTATGCCCGCTACACACCAGGCCTGCTCCAGGTTTGCTCTGTCAGCCATGGCCGAGCCAGACTGAAGGCCTGGTCTGCAAGGCGGCCCCAGAGCTGCCGACCCACTGCCTGGAGACAGCTTTAGCCCTTGGAGTTCAGGGCTCATCCAGAAACCAAGAGACATCACAATGGCGAGGACAAACTGCCCGAGTCATAGGCCTGGAGGCAGGGAAGAGGCAGGAAAGGGGGCTCAGACCCAGCGCTAACAAGGGCGGGAAGGGGCCCTCACCGGCGGAGGCCCTTGGTGACAGCGTACATCTGCTGGGCCTTCTCAGCAGCCTCTTGCTGTGTGAGCCGGTGGTTGAACTGCAGTAGGAGGCGCTCAGCAAAGGGCTGCCCTGCCCCATAGATGCGGCCATAGTTGAAGATCTTGGCGTGCTCCCGGCTGATGCCCACGGTGGCAGCTGTCTTGCTGTGCAGATCCGTGCCCCTGCTCTTCCTGCCCTGCAGCGTCATCCACCCGAAGGCCGTGCAGCCTGCGGGGCAGGGCAGGGGTGAGAAAGGTTGAGGGCAGTCTTCTCACCCACCTGGACTCCAAAGGGTCGAGCTACCTCGACCGGGCCCTGCCAGGCCCCTGCTTACCGTGCATGCCAGCAAAGTGGGCGTCCCCCAGCACAGCCGCGATCCACAGCTCCTGGGAGTCCACGTCAGCACCCACAAAGACGTAGCCGGGTGGGGCCTGCACCATGGCCTTCAACTCGCTGCCCACTCTGTCAGGCTGCAGGGGAGAAGAAAAGCCTCTTCCCATGCTGGCCTGGAGCCAGCGCTGACGGAGGGGACGCCAGGGCCTACCCTAGGGGGACCACCTCTGGGCATGCCAGACTCCACAGCTCCAGGACGACCATTCTCTTACCCATGGGGATGGCAGCGAAGCCAGCACCCCAAAGCCTTCTTGCCATAAAGGCCGTGGCTGGTACACCAGGGAGAGCCCAGGGAGAGGGGTGCCCAGAGCAAGAGTCATGATTGGAATTCGCTCTGGGGTCCTCCCTCCATCCCTACTGAGCTCCCATCTTGCAGAGCCAGGTGAGGGAGGCCCACAGGGCCAGCTAGGCAGAGGTCACGTACCCGGGCATTGCTGGCCGTGAGCCACGTGGGCTCCACAGCACGGCGGGTGATAGTGCCTGCGGTCACCACCTGGGGCAGGATGGCCCCATAGCGCGCTTCCTCCTCATAGGCTGGGTGCCTGCCGGCGGAAGGAGCAGACCCATCTGCGTCTGGCCGCGGCCCCTTGGGCCTACCCCACCCCTACCACTCAACAGGCCGTACCTGGTCACAGTCCGCGGCAGAACTGACCTGGGCAGCCACACCACCATCTGGGAGCTGGAGGGACACCTGGGCTGAGGCTCAGCATGGCCATGGGGAACAGGCTCCACCCTGCCACCCACCATGGCCCTCACCTGCCCAGCTTCAGGGCTGCTGTGCCCCCTCCTTGCCCGGCCTCAACCCTCTTCCTACTGACTTGCCTCTGGGTGGGCCCTGGCTCAGCCAAGGCCTGGGGCCCTAGAATACACCAACCAGAGCATCAGAGATCTGGGCACAGGCCAGGCTGCCAAGGCAGCTTCTCCCCACCCCTGGGTGTCCACCATCAGTCACTGGCCCCACTACCCTTCCCACACTTGGGCAAATGCCTTCTCAAGATGATGGGCAAATAACCACAACTTTGGAACCGACTTTCAAGATGAATCCATTGGCCATTCCCAACCTGCAGGACCCGCACCCAACCACCCACCCGCCCTCTAGTCCTCCGCTGGGGCTCCAGCAGAGGCTCACTTAAAAGCTGGGAGGGCCTGGCCAGGCCCTCAAGAACAACTCCTATTGCATAAACAGGGAAACTAAAGCCAGAGAGACAGCCCCTCCCCCCCCCCCCAACCAAGGTCACACAGCACCAGGACAAACAGCCAGGCCCCTGGCCCATGAGGCCATTCCCTGCGGGGCAGTCCAGACCAAGTCAGGGGCCCCTGGGGGGGGGGGGGGGGCACAGTAGTCCCAGGACTGCGGGCCTGTCTCTGCCCTCCCAAGGGGGCCCACCTGATACGTTTATGGGCATTTCTCCAGAAAGAGATCATCTTGTTGATTTCCAGGGCGCGGGGCCCACTGGCACCTCCTGGGCCAGCCTGCAAGGTGCCATCTTCCATCTTGGGCAGAAAGTCCTTGGCAAAGGGGCTTCCCACGTTACAGCTGTTACCATCCTAGAGAACAAGGCAACTGGTGCTAGAGGCAGATGGCAGACCGCCTGCTGGGGAGTCACTGTCTGGGTGCCCAGGTCCCTCCCATCCCCTGGCCCAGTCCACAGCCATCTGGAGCCCCTCCCCACGACCAGGGGAGATCGCACCCCCCACCCACGACCAGGAGGTATCACCCCCCACCCCCAGGGATCAGGAGGGACAACACCCCCACCCCAAGGACCAAGAAGGACAACACCCCACCCTAGGGACCAGGATGGCACCCCACCCCTGGGACCAGGAGGGACGGCACCCCACCCTGGGACCAGGCAAGCAGTAAAACAGTCATAGCACACAGCAGGCTCCCTACAGCAACAGCTATCGGTCAAACGAGCCTGTCACACACCCTGCCCTCAACTGCAATTTCCTGATGGAAAGCCAGAGTTGGAAAAGGCTGAAGTATTTTCCCAGACCACTTCCAAAGAGGGGCCCGCTGCTGGCTGTGGGTGGGCTGGGACACACACCTTGTGAGGCAGCTTGAAGAACCAGCAGCCAGGGACATCCACATCATTGTAGGGCCCGTTGCCATGGTGATAGGAGGGCTGGCTAGCTTTGGAGTCACCAGGGGCAGTCTGTGGGAGGCCACACACCTACATCAGGCACTGGTCCAGCACCTGTATTCGGCGAGGGCCATAGGGTACGGGGCGGGAGATGGGCCTGAAACCGAGACCAGCTGAGCCAGGAAGTAGCAGGCTGGCCAAGATGTCTCCAGCCCTTCCTTGGCCTCCAACCGGTGTGGGCTGCCCAGGGGCAAGGTCACAGGTCCAAATCCAAGACCTCAGGACCTCTCCAGTAGGAGGGGCAGGCCCGAGGCCCTACCCACCCAGAGGGCCCCAGAGTCGGCCGCCGCTCACCAGAGCCAGGGAGGGACCTGGCAGGACTGCTCGAAAGTTTTCCATTTTCACTTCGGCCTCCAGTTCTAAGCAGCCCAGTTCTTCCACCTGGACAAGCCGGGAGGTCCAAAGTGATGCCGGGCACAGCGGGTAGGACTCCCCAGCCCCACCCCAAGGACCCTCCAGCAGCCAGGCCCCCTGGGAGCAAGAGTTCCCGGGCACATCAGAGCCTGCCCCTCTGCCCAAGGCCACCCCAGGGCGGGAGAGCCTGTCTTACCGCCTGCCACATGGTGCTGTCGGAAAGCAGGAGCTCCTCAGCCAGGCCTGCCCGCTGGGGCTGCGGCCGCTGCCTCCCCTGGTGCAGGCAGTGCTTCCTGTACAGGGACTCGATGGCTCTGTGCAGAGAGGAGTGGCAGCTGCTGGGGACCCTGGGCGCCTCTGTCTACGCCTCAGCTCCAAGGCAGCCGGGCCCTGCCTTTTAGAGCAGGACGGAGGAACGCACAGGGACACAGCACTTGGGAGGCCAGCAGGGGTCCACGGCCGGTCTGATCAAATCAAGCTCCTTGAATCAGAACCCCACTGAGCTGCCGCCTGCCCAAGAGCAGCTTTGAGAGGAGAGTGGTGGGCAAGCCAAGGACCAGGCTGATCCAGCCTGCCCACCCACCCACCCACCCTCTTGGCTCAAGGTTCAGGACCACCTCAGAGCCTTTCATCCAAAGCCCACCCAAGTGCCTCAGGCTGTCCTGCAAGGCCAAGACTCGTGATTCTGGGCCACTTCGGGTCCAGAATCCTGGTCCAGAATCGTGGCTTCTCCCCACCACAGTCTGGGAGGCTCAGGGTCCATCTCAGATGGACGAATCAACAACCGTATCAGATGTAAATGGGCGCCCAACCCACCTCCCGAGACCGCTTAAGGAACAAACAAGGTGAGCCTGCTGGACACGTCTGAGTGCGGGGAAGGCCTGGCACGTAAGAAATGCTCACTAAAATTCCACTAAAGACAAACCAGGCAAAGCGAAAGCCAGCCCAGGTTCTCATGCAGCGTCCTGGAAACGCGGCTGTGCCCAGGCCTGGGGAAGGGCTTCCAGGCAGAGGACGAGGCCCCTGACTCCTGGGCACCAGCCTAGGTCGGCCTTGGGACTCTCCGGCTGGGAGAAGGGGTCCTCCCAGGCTCCCCCAAGCCTTACCTGTGAGGGCAGGCCACCCCAGGTGATGCTAGGGTGGTGCCCACCGGCACCTTAGCCAGGTTGTCCCGCCGCCCGGGCACCAGGTAGCCCCAGCCATGCTGCTCCGCGTAGTGCAGTGGGAAGCCATCCCAGGTCAGGGCCATGAGTTTGGGCGTGACCCGCATCTGCAGGCTGAGGAGGCTGGGGCCTGGGCCCCACTCGGGGTCGTCTAGCCGAGGGCACAGCTTCCGGTACCACCTACACCCACCCAGAAGCAAGCCATGGGTGACTGCAAAGAAGGGTGTCTCCCATCGCAAGCCCCACACCCACTTCTGCAGTCACAGACCGCTTCTCTGGTGTGCTTTGGGCAGGACCCCCAGGGATTGCCAGAGGTATTACAAATGATCTCTAAAGGAAGGACCCACAGGTCTAGGGAGGAGCCACACACACAACACCCCAGCACAGGGCACTGGGTCACATCTGCACTGACCCCTGCTGTCAAGAGACCACCAGGACTCTCAGAGCGCTCCCCCATGCCACTCAGCAGGCTGGGGCACCTGTTCTAAGGAGGCATGCTCTCTCTGGCTCGTTCGAGTGCCAAGTTCAGCACCTGCGGTTCACCCTACTGCCCTTGATATCCTCATATGCCCTCTCTACAAGGCTTCTGTGGATGGGCACCCCCCACTGGGTTCCCCAGGCAGTGCTAGGCGCGGCCCCCACACCGTTCAGGTGGTTCTCAGTTCCTCCCGCAGCTCACGGCACCCCTGCACAGAGCCACGGCTCGGAGCTCTGCTGCTGAGGAAAGGCAGGAGGAGTGCGGGGCGGACAGATGCAGGGCGCCTCCCAGTGAGGTGCACATGAGGGCGACCCTGGCCAGGAGCTCACCCAGGGTGTCCCGGAAGGTGCTGCGGCCGCTTGGGCAGGAGCTCTGTGGTTGCTTGCAGCTGGCGCAGGCGGGCCAGTGCAGTGGCGTCTCGGTGTAACTCCTCCTCCTCACTGGGGGGGCCGGGGTCTGCTGGGGCCGGAGGGCAGTCAGGAAGAGAGGCAGGGACTCTCCCAAAGCCCCACCCCAGTCTGCTCATCTCCAGAAGGATGAAGTGACCCTCTGCAGTGGCACCTTGGACCCCAGGCCCTTCCCAGGGACCATCCCTGCCCACCGGCCGCCCCTGTTCCCCACCTTCCTGATCCTCAGGGGCCACGGCCCCCTGGATGGGCAACTGGCTGGCTTCGGCTGGCTCCTTCTGCTTCACCTTCTTTGCTTTCTTCTGCTTAAATTCTTGCAGGTCCCACTCCAGGTCCCAGAGCCAGGGGTCCTCCTTGTACCTGCAGAGTGAGGGTACCAGGAAGGGCTCAGACTGAGCGGGGCCAAGCCTCCTGCCGCCCATTGTACGCCTAGACCCCAGCAGGGCTCCCCGGGCTGCTACCTCTCTCCGACAAGCAGCTGGCAGGCATCATTAGCCAGATCCATCAGCGACTTCTTCATCTCCCGCTGGAGCTCCTCATAGGTGCTGTGGGCCTCCACCAAGTACCGCTCCCAGTTCTGGTTGACGGGCAGGTAGGAGACACCCATCTCCAGCATGCCGGCCAAAGTTACTGGGTGGGGACACCTGGGGGCAAACCCCAGGGGCTGCTTTGAACAGTCACAGGAGGCCAGGCTCTGGCCCAATCTCTGAGCAGGCTGAGCAAGCACCCCCACCCCCACCCCCACCCAACACACAACCGCACGACAACACAGCTCCACAGCCAGGCAGGAGAGTTAGGTCCCAGCCCTACGCTCTCGGGCACAGACCCTGAGCAAGCTATACCCATCGTTTCTCTAGGGCTCAGCTGTCCCATCTACGTAGCACAAGAACGCCACGTCTACTCCCTGCCTACTGCAAATTGCTAATTTAAACAAGGCAGAAATGTATCTGCTTAGTTTTGGGGCTAAGAGTCTGAATTCAGGGTGCTCTGGCGGAGGGCCGGGAGAGTCTGGCCTCAGTTTTGCAACTGTTCACCTCCAGTAACACCCATCCTCCCGGCCACGTACTCTGCACCTACCTGGCTAGGTTCCTTGGCATAACAAAACCTATATACAAGGGGACTGCTTCCTTGGGTGCACGGCTAGTAGTTACACACATACTTTGAGGGACACAATCCAATCCCCAGCCCTGCACTTAGGGGCACTGAGAGAATTACCTTGGTAAGGACACACAGGACTGCCACATGCTAAATCACAACTACAGTTACGTGCAGGCTCTGTGCTTATAAGCCTGTGGCCCCCACACAAGATCCCAACAGGGTAGAAACACTATCCTGCTTCAGGGACAAGACATGAAGATGCGGAGAAATCAGGTAACTTGCCCAAGGCCCAGTAAGTGGGACACAACAGAGGCAGGGCTTGAAGCCTGCTGGCTGGCGGGCCCTTCCGCCTGAGCCCTCGGGGATGGTTCACCGAGCAGCACCAACGGGGTGGCTGCGAAGCCCTGGGCTCAGCGTCTGGGTACAGACACCGTGCTTAGCAAAGCAGGCCCAGCAGGCCGCCCCGTGGACACCTCTGGACAGGACAAAGTGGTTCCACTTTGGGGCTCAGAGAAGCTAAGGTGCCCAGGCACGGGGAACCCACTGATCCTCACCTCTCCAAGAAGAGTGGCAGCTGCTGGAGGAAAACCTCATAGGTGGCCCACACGTCCTGGGCGCAGTACCGCATCAGGGCCTGGCACGGGGGACAGAAAGGCGCTGGGTGGGCCGCCATCCCACTGCCACCGCCGGGTCTCGGGGTCAGGCCCGGCAGCCGCTGCTCCCCAGTTCAGCTCAGGTCTCCCACAGCCCACCTCCCACAGCCCCGCCCGCGCACTGTACCTGGAAGTTCTCCCGGACGTCCTTCATACTGCCCTTGACGAACAATTCTCTGGGCTCCTTCTCCAGGGGGGGGCCCCCAACATAGAGGCTGTGCACGTCCGCCAGGTTGTTAATGCTGCTGATGTCCAGCCAATCCCAGGAGGAAATCTGGAGCCAGAGCAAGTGGTCTAGCCATGGCTTGGCCTCAGAGCAGGCGGGCAGGTGGGCAACGGGAGGGAGGTGGTGAGGAGGGTCCCGAGTGTGCTCTCACCGCTGGGCCTCGGGCTTTGGGCTGGCACTTGGGGCCTCTCTGCGGGGGAGGCCGGGCCTTGTGCCTGCCCTGCTTGGCCGCCATCCACAGGCTGCGCTGGAAGCCGCTCAGCCCCGCGATAGCCATGTGCATGCTCATGGTGTCCAGGAAGCGCATGCGGGAACCCTGAGCACGAGGAGGAGGAGGAAGAAGAACAGGAGGAGGGAGACAGCAGCTCAGCACAGCCCGCCACTGCTTCAGCGGTGGGGTCCACAGCAGCCCCAGTCCAGCTCCTCACCCAGCCTTCCAGCACCAAGTCTGGAGTTGCCCTGCTTGCACATGCTTATCCCGCAATCTGGGGGGCCTGCCCTCCCCAACACCAGCACCCCTGGAGGGGCAGGCCCAGCTCCATTCCCAGGCACCTGTGCTCCCTGGCGTCAGCCCACCAGGGAGGCCAGTAGAGCCTCAGGCTAAGGGGCTGTCGCCTGCCCAACTGTCTCGAGGGAGACACAATGAGGAAGCTCTTTGCAAAGCACTCAGAGTTGTTGCTACCAGACACTAGAGGCAGCTCTGCGGACGGCACACAGGTACTGTCTCCAAATCCTGACTCTCCTAAGGGTGACTCCTGCTATTGACCGCTTTCCACCAATGAAAAAGTAAAGCAAGCACCTTGCGGCCTCGGGTACCCCTGCCCCCAGTATTGCATACGCAACTGACACGCGGGCAGGGAGGAAGGCGGATCAGAGGAGAACTGGGTATTCCAGTTACAGTGCTGGCAGACTCCTGCACGCTCCCTGCACTGCCAAAAGCACACACAAGCCTGCACCACAGGGGGCGCGGCCAGAGTGGCCAAGAGGCGAAGATGGCGAGACTTCATCCTACGAACTTTGACGTGCTACTGGGAGAGGCCAATCCCTAGAGAAGGATGTCATGCTTGCTCTACAGTAAATGGTCAGCCCAAACGAGGAAGCCCCTCAACAGGATGGATTGGGAGCTTGGCTACCATGGAAACGGAGGACAGAGCAGGACCGGGCAGGGCCGCGAAGAGTCGGGGTGGACCCGACGGCGCCCACCACCAACAAATAAGGAAAACTCGGGCTCTGGGAGGAGCCCTGGTGGAGGAGTGGTTACACGCTGGGCTGCAGCATGCACACTTCGAAACCACCTGCCGCTCCTCGGGAGAAAGATGGGGCGTTCTACTCCCGTAAGAAGTTATAGGCTCGGAAATTCACAGGGCCCGTTCTACCCTGTCCTTAGGGTCACTGTGAGTTGGCACCGACCCCATGGTAGGGAGAAGGCGCTAGAGCAGTGGTCCTCCGCCTTCCTCATGCCGCAACCCTCTCTTATAGCTCATGTGCTGGGAACCCCCAACCATACAATTCTTTTCATTGCTACTTCATAACTGTCATTTTGCTACCTTTATGAATGAAGTGACCCCCGTGAAAGGGTCATTCAACTCCCAAAGGGGTCGTGACCCACAGGCTGAGAGCCGCTGCTCCAAGGTGTCCTATCCGGGTGCTCACACTGCTTGTTGGTGGCTGGAGAGGGGGTGGGCTCAGAGCCTCTAAGATCTACATGAAGTTTTAAAAGGCCACTCAAACATAATGGCCATCACTACCCTGGGGCAACTCAGTCTCCTGTGCTCTGGGGGCCTCGGGAACCAGAGGCAAGCCTGGCCAACAGGCGGCCTACAACTGCTGCACAGGGGGTGATACATCGGGCCACTGAGCTCAGGGCTCTGACCCAGGAACCTTACCTGGATCAGATACTGCTCCCTGATGTGGGCGCGGTCAAAGGACACGTTGTGCCCCACCACCAGCTGCTCTTGCCGACCCTTCGGGGTGGGGCTGCCGCCACGGGCAGGGATCTCCAGGGGAATGAGGTCAGCCGGCGACAGCTGGCTGGTCCAAGAGTAACGCTCTGCCACCAGCCGCCGGCTGCACCAAGAATACCTGAGAGATGGGAGGCAGGCCAGTTCACCGTGGAGGCACTCAACGTCCACTTCACAACCCCACATACACGCCTACCCCGACAGCCCCGGGCCTACACTGCAGCGGGGGACCCAGGTGAGGCCAGGGACTCCAAAGCCTCCCAGACGGTGTGGAGTCCTTGGGGGGAAGCTTCTGCTCTTTCAAGCTTCCACAAAGACAGCAGGCGCTCACTGCCCTGGTGTTGGGGCTCCCAGGGAGCAGCAGAGGGCCGAGCCCGCACTTGGCTCCGAGGTATTTCAGAACATAACCAACTCCTCCCATCCAGCAGCCCCTCACAGCTCATCTGCAATTCCCAGTAAAGAGCTAGGCTGCTATAGGAGAACCCAAAGTGGAGAATTTTTCCCCTTTCAAAAATTAAAGTGGAAAAAAAAAAAAGTAAAAACTAAATGGCCAATGCTGCACACATGGGCAAGATGAGTCACCTGACAGCGAGCGAGAAGATCGCGAAGGACAAAAGCCAAGTCACTCGCCTTGGAGAAGGCGCTGTGACTGAGCAGGCAGGCGCCCGTGAGAGACCACGGGAAGTGCCAGAATGGGGACAATGCGAGAATGTGCTAGCAGGGCGGTGCTGCCCGCTGAGGGGAGGCCTGCTGCAAGCCACACACTGTTCTCAAGATTAGGGCCCACTGGGCATATGTGGGTGAGGCGTGCAGCTGGAAAGGCGCTCCCTGCGGTCTTTGTGGAGGGGGTGCGGGGTGGGCACAGACAGGTCCAGCTGCCTCAACACAGTTTCAACCAACCAACCAACCAAGCACTTTCTTTCAGCCAAAAAGAATTCGAACTCATATTCCAACTCGGGAATACACCCAGGGACTGGAGCTGAGGCCTCCTTCCCCCACATTTAATCCAGCAGCTCAGAAAGTCCGGTCATTAAAAACAACTAAGGAAAAACTAAAAGGCAGAGGAAGACCAAATGTTTGCAGAGTGAGTAAGGGCAGGGACTTCGTTGCAACACACAAGCATGCTGGGCTAGAGACTCTGGTCTGCAGGGGTGCTCCATGCCGCCTGAGGACAAAGGTGTTCTCGAGGAACAGAGGAAAGCCAAAATGCACACACCTTGGGGGATGATGCCAGACCACTGGGAAACCGGGTCACGAAGACCTGCAGCTCTGTGGGTCTGAGACAATGCCCATGACCTGAAGACCAAAAGCACTCGCCAACAGCTTAGGATTCCGGCCCTCCCCACTGGAAAGGGCGGCCCGGATGGGTACCTAGTGCTGTGCTCAAGAGGAAGGACCCGAACAGAGCTTCTGTCTCAAACGGACTGCGGCCACCAGGCCAGCTAAGCGAGGCCCGAGCGCCACTGGCCAGGATGGAATGAGAATGAAGAGCGAATGGGAAGGATGGGGAGAGAAGGGCCAGAGAGGAACGAAAAGAAACAGGGACTTCAGGAAAAGTGGCCAAAAATAACCAAGGGGGCAAAAAGCTTTGTGACCGGGCTCTTCGGTTTCTTGCCTTATTTTCCCTCCTCAGAGGCCAGTGTCCCCTTTACTCTGACCACCAGGTCACACCCTACATGCTGTGACTCTCCTCGCAACTGGAGCTGAATCAACGAGGCAGCATATTGTTTGGCTCTTCCCAGCCATCCGTGCCTACCTTAGCTACTTAGCCATGTTTTCATCACTTTCAACTGCATGTTTAACATTTCGCAGCTTTCTGTACAAAGGTGTGGCTTCCCATAGGAATAAAGAAACTGCCAACTGTGTGCTGGCCATGCCTGAAAGCGTTAAGGATGAATATACTGTTTTAGTCCTGTATTGGAAAATAAAAAAGGAGGAGAGACGGTTTAGGGCTCTGTGGACACCGGGCCTTAATTGCATCTATCCTACTGCAGGGGGGCGGTGCTGCAGGCAGGGTATGAAAAAGAAACCTGGGCAGCCCTGAGAGGGTCACTCACAACCAGAACAAGAGATTGGCCATTTTCTGTTTGGGAACAAAATAACCAGTCAAGAGGCTGTAGGAGGAAGCGACTGTTTCTCTTCCTTTGGGTAGGGGTGGGGGTGTGTGTGTGAGGCATTTGGAAACGTTGAAGGATTCAGGGGTGAAGCCATGGATGCTACTACATGCCTTGTGCTGTCGAGGGTAGTACCACAAAGCGATTTCTCCCACCCAAACAACCAACAGCAATCCCCAATAGAAACTTTGCACATGTCTTTGCAGAACAACTTTTCATGACGCACCTGAGGAGGGGCTAAAGGCACCAAATCCTTAGGCTCTCAAGTGACCCAAGGG